CTATGTTGGGTGTTCAGAGTTCCCATCGTTTTTCTAAACTCCTCTATTATTTTCCAATCTTTAGGTTGTCTGGAGTGTCTAATCATTTCTTTTATAAAGATCATCTTGTAGCTGTCTCAGAAACCATTTCCGATTTAACTTTTTAACCCATGTTTCTTCTTTTTTTCTTTCCTTGTTGTCACTTAAGAGTCCCGGTGGGTGGGTTTCAAATTCTTCTACCTCATCATCCCCTGGGTTTGCCTGTAGTGAGCTGGAGGTCTGGGGGTTCAGTGCCTTGTCATTTTATCATTTTGTCATTTTTCAGTTTTATTCCTGAGTTGATGCTTGTAAATTGTGTATGGCAAATATCTTTTTTACTAGTAATTAGATCTATGAGGGAATGACGTCATCTCAAAGATATGTGCAAAGTGAAGCTTGCAATTGTGTTTTGAGTCTGTTGCAAAATCCTACCTCTTCAATTTATTGCGGATGAGAAGTTGCTTTCTATTTACCCCAGCCCTTGGTTCTTTGCCACTGACCCGTAGCATGCTTTGTGACCCTCAGGGAACCCCCAATCTTGTCTACCACAAAGAACAACTGACTAGAACAAGTATATCATCTTTGGAAAAGCAGTGCATTCAGCACTAACAATGGTGTCACACACAACCTAGATAATGACAAAGTGTGAGAACTGTTGTGATTTATCACCCTCAGCCATAAGAGCTGTCTTTGTGGTAACATAAGAAAATCTGAAACAAAATAGAAAATTGAATACAGTAAATAGCCATGAGTATGCGGATTACACTCACCCTCAACTGAGAAAATTTAAAAGGGAAAAGGGAAAAAAATAAAGACATAGAAGAGATCACAAGCAAGGCTGGAGGACAGAGGCAGGTTGCACAAACTGTGGGACACTGATGAGGAAGACAGGAGGGAAACAGAGGAAGAAGAGAAGAGAAAAATAGCAACAAAAACTGGGCTTGTAAACTTGCCCAGCGTGTGTGAAGTCTGGGCTCCATGCCCAGCACCATGAGGAGAAAGTAAATAAACACACAAATAAAATTTATGAGAAGAACACTATTCTTTTTTGGTACCTGGGAACAAACTCAGTGCCTCACGCCTGCCAGGCAGGTGCTTATGCCGCTGAGCTACATCCCCGGCCCCAGAACACTTCATTTGTTTATCTTTATTTATTTCTTGGTTGTTTGAGACAGGGTCTTGCTATGTTGCTCAGACTGGCCTTGACCTCACTTTAGACCACAGGCTCACATCCGACCTCTGGCAGTCCTCCTGTCTCGGCCTCGAGTGCTGGGATTGCTGGCAGGTGGCCCTACACCCCGTAAATCTCTTCCCTCTGGCCTGCACCTGCCCCCCTTCTGATGACAGGACACGGTGCCCGTGTGACGAGGTGAAGTGAGGGAGATGCTGGCTCCATGCTGCCGTGTGAGGGCAGCACGTGAGGGTCACTTGAGGACAAGTCCTGGGCACAGTGACACTGAAGTGAGGAGTCCCTGAGAGAGGGGGAGCTGCTGTCCCCGTGAGACAGAGCACGGCTCACCAAGATTTCATCCTGCTGCTCAGACGCCACACAGCTGAAGACTCAGGGTGTGCTTATTTCTACAATTCTCCCCTTAGCGTTTCTGAAACTTAGTTGAACACAAGGAACTGAAGCCACAGAATATGGAATAATGGGTGAGAGGCGACAACTGTGACTCATTTTACCAGGAGTCTGTTCCTCTCTTTACTCACAGGAAGTGTGATACGGCCTTGCTGGGAGTATTTCCGAGGTCAGAAAGACATTTTAAATCCCTTCAAGCTTCGATAAAACTGAATCTGTTGAGCGAGTTGGCCTTTGCTTGACTCTGCCCTCCCTATTTTGCTAGCCTTAGCACTGTGGTGCGGATCTGAGACTTCCCTGAAAGTCTCACGTTCAGAGGTGGAGGCTGATGGATGAGGTGTGTCACCGCGGGGCTCCCTGGAGCACAGGGCCCTCTCAGCAGGTCCTCTGCTGGGCTCCCGCTGACTGCCATGAGATGGACTGCTGTCTCCACCGTGCTCTTCCACCAAGCTGCTTCTGCCTTGCAGCCAGCTGATCATGCACGGAACCCCCTGAAGTGTCAGCTACTTTAAATTGTGTGTGTTGGGTATTTTGTCGCAGTAGCCAGAAACGAGGGTGATTCTTGGAAAGACTCAGAGCATGCACAAGTGGCCCTTCCTCCTCCCCTTCATCTCTGCCTTTAGCAGGGGAAAGGACAAGAATGAAGTGAGTGTCTTTATCCCCCTCCAACCGGAAGTCAAACCCAGGGTCTTGTGCCTACTCAGCAAAGATTTTCCCATCCTCCCGGCCCCGAGGCCTGAAATTTTCCCTTAGGCACATGCCCTGCCAGAATTCTGTGCAGGACTTCTGGGTAGATTATGGACCATAAACTTCAAATTAACCCCAATCTATACTGCTAGTGACAAGATTCTTCCAGAAGCGGTGCTTCTGTGTACGTTTAGAACCATTACCGGAGGCTCAGGAGAAAGACTGAATCACGTGTGGTCTATCAATGTTTATCCGCTGATGCCTGTGTCCTCTAGCTGTGGGGGGGTCATTGGTAAGAGGGTGGAAAGTGAAGTCCTGCATGAGTTTGCCACATAAACCCTGGGATCAAGTCAGAGAGAAAGAAGTGCAATACACCCAGTCTGCCCAAATCCTTCATCTTTGCAGGCCACAGTGAAAGGGTATTTCTCTGGGAGAACGCTGCCTACCCAGGAGAGGAGTGCTTGTCATGGTGTTACGACTGTGTGCAAGTACTTAAGCTCTTTTTAAACTTTTTATTTTCTTGCGTTTGTCTCCTGAGGGCAGGGAGTCCTTAAGTGCTTGGTCCCAGCAGATGTTTCCTGCTTCTTGCTAGGGTTTCCTGGTGCAATAGAGAAGCAAATGGAAAGGAAAGGAGGCCTTTACTGAGGATGTGGGGCGCACAGCTCATGGGGCTGGCTTGTCCACTGCTGGGTACAGAGGGGCTGAGGTTCTGTGACCGCTGACCAGAAGCAGCACTTGGGGCGGGCAGAGGTGACACACAAGGCAGTGACTGGAATTCTCCTCATGGGCACGGGATAGGAAGGAGGAAGTTGTAGGCAGGGCTGAAGGAGGAGGAGGAAGTGGTCATCAGGTGAAGCGTTGTTTTTGCTGTGGCCTTTTGCCATGTTAGACCAACATACTATCCAGTAATTTACACTAGGGCACAAACCTTTCTTTTCTGAACCATTAGAAGGGGCTTAAATGACTTATCTCTCCTATAGCTTAGGATTCTAGCAAAATAAGAAAGTTCTGGAACTTTTCCTTAGAGTATTGCAGAAAAGTTCCCAAGCCTAACTGTTGGGGCACAAGCATAAGGTAAGAATGGATGCATGAGACTCAAAGCTATAGGTACTTCATGGTCAGCTAGAGGCCTCTGACCCAGCCTCTGTCCTGCTGGTTCTGCTGAATTCACTTGACCCTGATGGTGTCTACACCCTAGTTGCACATATATGATGAGGACGGAGTCAGAGTAATTGTCTAACCCTTACGGCACCTGGGCTAATTCAAGGGCCCTCTCCGGGATTTTCCTCCGTTATGGTGGTACCCTTAATTGTGCTCACTCTGTAAGTCTCCCTCACCTCCTTCCGGAAGCATTTCTATATTATGATAAATAATTTCAGCTTGTCGTTATGACTCAATGTATGTCACCAATTATGAGGCATTCTGTGACTTTGTGCCTCACACTTCTGAATTGTGTATAAACTGAATTGCTGCTGCCTTTGAGAAATTACCCCAAAGAAGTCAGCACGTATGAGACCAAGTACAGTCCTCTCAACACCTCAGTGCAAAGAGTCTTCCTCTCAGTTGTGTTTGGTCTGTCTTGGCTTCGTAACTTTCCCACAGGAATATCAAACTGAAGGGAAGAGTCTTTGTACCGAGGAGAAAAGGCGGCAGCGTTCAGTCTTTACAGCTGCAGACGGTTGTGTCTTCACGCCAGCAGGATGTTGTGGGAGAATCGCACAAACACAGTAGCAGTGAGTGTACAGAGAGCTCAGTTCATACAGAATTCAGAAGTGGGAGGTATAAAGCAAACGACGAATCATTACAAAATTGGTTATAAGCACCAAGTTCATTTATGGACAAGCAGGCAGGTCTTGAAACAAAGGAATTGTTTATCATAATTTAGAAATCCTGGGCGAACCAGGGGAGGGGCCCTAACAGTGAGCACAGTTAGGGCAATACAGACCGTGTTGGTGAGCCGGCCCTCGGAGGGTGTTCTCGACTAGATCAGGGTGCCTTAAGGTGTACCAATCACTCGGGCTCTCTGCTCATCAGAGGCGCAGCTCGCTTTTAGACACTGTCACTGTCAATCGAATTCAGCAGAAGCTCCAGAACAGAAACTTGGTCAGAGCCCTTCAATTGACCGTGAAATACACAGAAGTCTTCTGTTTCATAAATGCATTCTTCCAGTACCCTTACATACCACCAAGAGGGTTAGAGTGCTTGTAAAGTGCACGCATGTGATCGCTCCACTTCTCATCCTGTGTGAGCGGTGTAAATTTCAGCTTGAGAAAGTTCTACCTGTGTCACATTTCCCAGCAATGCTAGTCATTCCACCGAGCAAGGCCTGGGAAACATGCGGGAAGGCGAGGCTCGTCCTGCCCCAGTGGTGTCCTTCTCCCTACCGACACAGGCTGTTCCCAGAGCGCAGCTGGTGTTGTCCTGGTGCACCCCAGCCCTTGCTGATTGCCCTGCTGCCCTGTGCCGCACACCTCCTCCCCTTGCTGTTTTTCACCTAAGGGGCGCTCTTGGCTGTCTTTTCAAACTAAGTGATGCTAAGTGACTCCTTTTCCCCAGTCAGGAGGCAGGAGATGAGGTCTTGCCAACACGGGAATCTCCAAACCCTGGTGTCAGAAAGCACCTACTAATGGTAGGCAGTTGTATGAGGCCTTGATGGTAGATGAGAAAAGAAATGGGGAGAACACCCTGATTCTTCCAGGCACAGACCAGGCTGCACTGAAGAAAGGCTGGCACTTTATTTGCATACTCTTAGGAAGGAGGTAGCTGGAGTATTTTTCAGGCTTTGCATCTCTAGCACAAGTGACCAAGATTCCCCTGAGTAGCACAGTTTCATTCGCAGGACAGAAAGTACACGTTGCCCTGGGTGTCTCCCACAGCGAGCCGCAGGGTGGAGTCAGGGCCCAGCCAGGGCTGCAGGCAGCTCACTGCCCCTTCGCATCTGAACAGGCCGCGCTGAAACAGGAAGAAAACCGGGAGGTGAGGGCCAGCTACACACCCAGGCTCTGCGTAGGCACTTAATTTTTTCTTTCACAAACAAAAGCCTTTTATTTAGAAGCAGGTATTATCACTCCAAAAAGAGCGGAAGGAAATGGAATGTTCATCTTGTCCCTTCCCTTACCCAAGCTCGTACTCACGCTACTATACACCAACAGAAACACACTTACCAGCCGCATACTGGATCTCTCCCACAGTTTGACATCTCTGTCCTTTGAACCTGTCACCAGCAACTCAGGCAGCACATGGAGGGCTGTGACAGAGTCTGAGTGAACCTACGGGAGGAGGAGAAGAGTGTCACCCTGAATTCTGCTGTCAGCTCACCACCTCCTCCCCTACCTGTCCTTAAACTCACCTTTCTACACTGCTGCATCTTTAACTCTGTACTCGACGAGATGTCCATGCTGGCATCTGATGGGTCTGGCCCTGAAACCTGATCTTCAAGTGCTTCTGTCTGCCAGATGTTACCTGTGGTCCATTTTCCTCCACAGGTGCATCCAGCCAGGGTCCACAGCACTCCCTCAGAGGTGGCAAGCAGCAATGAGGACTCTGCCGTTGTGAGGGCAGAGTTAGGAGCCTGCCTTGCCTCTCCCTGCACCTGCCTGCCTCCCCAAGGCATCTTAGGCCCCTCAGGGCTTCCCATTCTGCTCACCAGATTCGGGTTTGGCCTGCGTGACCATTACCGAGGTCCCACTAGGATTTTTATAGTGCATGTAGAAGTGCACATTGCTCTGAAACTCTCCTGTTTCCTTTTGCTTCTGTGAAAGCACAGGTACCATTGATTAGTCTGCACACAGCTCTGCCTGTTGAAGCAACAGTGCTCTGCTCTAGGATGATCAGAACTTTCTAAAGCCAAACTACAACATCGACATGGTAGAGGATACAACGGTTCAACGTCCAGCTCATGGGACTTTACATAACCCTAAACCACCCAATGGGCCCCAGTTCAAAAGATACACAACGCTGCCTTCAATCACAAGTTGCCCTTCCCTAGCCAGCACAGGGCCACCCTGAGAGGTAGCAATATTGTGACTTCTGTCATCATATTACAGTCCTGCTTATCCTCAAATTGAATTTAAAGGAAATCCTGCGGTACAGACCACTGTGTCTGGCTACTGTGGTCCAGGATAGGGCCTGAGGTAAATCTGCTCTGTACCTGTTCTCCTTTTGGAGATAGAATAGTACCACATAATGCAGGCTGGGCTTGAACTCGTTTATGGAACGGAGGCTGGCCTTGAACTCACGGAGACCTTTCCTGCCTCAACCTCCCAAGTGCCGAGATTACAGAAATGGGCCACCATGTCCACTGTGTGGCTACTCTCCTTTACACTCACTGCCACAAGCTTTCCTGAACAACTCTGCTGCTTAAACACACTGAAATGCTATACATTCTTCCTGTTTACAGACATGTTAGGTTGTCTAGGCCTTAATGACCAACACTGCTCCAGAGAGTCTTGTGATTCTCTTTTGGAGAACACATGCACTTATGATGCACAGCTGTGGATTAGCAATGGCGATACTGGGTCAAGGATAGCCTCTGTGAATAACTTTACTAGGTGAGGCCAGGGTTCAGGCAGCTTCCAGAGGACTAGAATGTCCAGCTTGGGCACAAAAAATGCATGTCCATGATTTAACTGAGACACATCACAACAAAGTTAAAGTGTTTGCCCTTAAGTTGGTAACACAGCAATAAGACAGAGAGAGAAAGGAAAAATGCGATTAGAAACACTTGTAGCTGAGTGTGGTGGCGCATGTCTGTGTTCCCAGCACTTGGGAGACTGAGGCAGGAGGATTACTGTGAAATGGAGTCCAGGTTCAGCCACAGAGTGAGTTCAAGGCCCACCTGAACTACACAAGGGAGAAATAAGATAGTGTTTCAGAAAAGAAAGAAAGAAGAGGGAGAGAAAGAGAGGGAGGGAGAGAGAGAAAATTAAACTTTTAAAAAATTTTCTTGAACTCTCTTGATTGAACTCTAACAGGAAACACCAGTAAGTCACACTCTACAGCAGAGCTGCTTGACAGAAGGATTAGGGGATGTGGTCCCAGCGGCCATGCCTTCCCTTGATCCTCTGTCATGTGGTCCAATATATAAGAACACTGGTTCTCAACAAATGTGTGACGCATAGCTCTATACAACTTACCAGGAAAAAAAGAATTTTAGGATCCTTTGCATTCAGGTAGAACACACCATACTCCTTGTGTGTGGACAGCAGGATGGGATGAATCCCAAACTTGTGCCTGGGGTATAAGAAAGTGAGAGGCTGACCCAGACTACCTGGATTTAGGGTTCCAGGCTTTCTTCTAAGTTAAACTCAGGGAAATACTAAATCATAGCTTTCCTTTTTTAGCTCAGGAGGAATAAGCCTTGTGGATCTTACGCAATCACCCGTGGAGAATTCCCAGGTGTCATTTGCAGTATTTTCAAATCTGCAGTGACCATGATGAGAGAAAGACCATCGGGGGCCAGTTCCAGACTTGTCAAGATTCCAACTTCTTGCAGAACTTGATTCAGGTGAAGACTATAGCTCAAAAAAAAAAAAAAAAAAGATCACATGAAGACAGACTTCACTTTCTACTGGCTTCCACAGCTTTGCATGCATCCTTCACACGTGAAGGACAAAGCAAAATGCCTGCCTTCCCACCCGATCTGTTCGTTTTCCTTGTTTTGATGCTGCCAAGAATCTAACCCAGGGCCCTGAGCCTGCTAGATAAGCCCATTTTCCTTTATCAGTATTAATATTCATCCTCCCCTCCCTTTCCTTGTCTAACTAGGACTAATAGCATTCTTATCTCTTCTTTCCATTCCTAACTCCAGCTGATCAACAAGCTCTGTGGATTCTACCTGCAGTGCACTCACGTAGCAGTGTCCTTCCTCTCATTTCCACCTCCCAGGTCAGGGCCTACAGTGTGCCTTTTCTGGGCTACAGCACCAGCTGGGAAAGGTCTCCTTCCCTTTGGTTACAACTACTGTCCTGTGGAGAACCAGACACTTTCCACTGATGTGTTATCCGTCCTAGGTGCTCCATGCTCTGCCTGTCTTGTGGGCTGGTTTTGGAATGTGGACATCACCTTCCTCTAGGTCAGTGAGTTTAGCACCCACGTGTGGGGATGAATCCTGGCTTGTTTCCTTTATGATGTTAAACTTGCCCAATGTCCCACTGCCTGTGTGTCCTTCCTGGAGAAGCACCCACCCCATTTCCCCTATACTGGCTCATAAAACGGTAGCTAGTTGGAGATTTAGGGCCTTTTGTTCCTAGAGAGCAACTGGTGGCCCCATCCCTGCTATGCACCCCTGTACTTTGTCTCTTGCTCTTTTTCACGTTCCCACTCTGGGCTCGAACTTCGGCAGGAGACTGGAGCCCCATCTGGGATCCGTGATAAGTGGCCCCGTGGGAAGGGTCTTGTAGAGGGCTCAGGGTTCCACCTGGCAATGTGGCTCAGAGATGAAAAGTGACGGGAGTTCTGCAGTGGATGGAGCTCGGGGCTGGCCCAGTGCCCAGGGTTTTATTGGTACCAATAAGGGTGGCGGGTCGAGGTCATGGCACAGTGCACGGGAAGAGAAACCTGACAGGCACGGCCCTAAGGAGACAGAGCCACTCGTGCACCAAGCACCGAGGCTCCCCAGTTAGCAATACGATGGACAGTTCGATATATGCAAACCTGGCACTTGTAATCCCAGGAAGATATAATTCATTTAGAGTTTCATGGGCACAGCAGAGATGTCATCTTATGTCCCAGCCCTGGACTCCCACAGACTCCTGCTGGAGCCCCATGGCACTTATCAGCGGGGGGGTGGGGTGGGGTGGGGGGAGGCTCCTCACATCAGGTGTAGCCACTTTGCTGTACTGAGACGCACTGGTACACAGGCTGGGCTTGATCAGGTTCTTCCAGCCGTTTAAGGGAACAACTGCTTTAATGCAGCCAGCTCTGCACATCTCAGTGTCAGGGCTAAAGGAAAGCTAAAGAGCAGCTGCAACCGTTTCAGATAAACTTGGCCCTGGCTCCATGTACTGACAGGTACAGAGCTGGCTGGGCTAGTTCTCTGTCAGTTCCATTGGCTTTAAGCAATGTAAATTGGGCTGGCTGAGGAGCTGATGTGTAATCTCTGAAGCAAAGGGACCAGGCAGTGTTACCCCACCCGGTGACTCCCCCAAAATGTGGTTGAGTCAAGCATGATGGAGAGCTGTGCTCCACACTGTGAGCTAGGATAGAGCCTCGAGAAAGAGGCTGATTTCTCAGGGGAAAATGGAGTGTACACCAGAGCTAAAGCACTGACCCCAAATTATTAGCTACTACCTCAGCTGCATTATGCAAATGATTCCCTCTGCAGTTCTTACCCCCTGCATATCGCAGAGGCGATCTCAGACCCCCTACCCAGCCCAGCTCACCACAGCCACTCTCACTGTCGCTCACCCCTGAGCCACTCCCCTCATGGAGAATCAGTAAAACCCCAGCTAGGTCTGGGTGTGGCCTCTGGTCCGGTGCACCACCATCTTGGCTGGACTTAGGACTCACTGGCTCCCCGTAACTGTATGTCTGTCTCAGTGACTTTTTTTATCCCCCTGGGATGCACAGGAAGTGCTAGATTGGAATTACCTCACTAGAATTCCAGTAACTTCTCCTTGGGATTATAAATAGAAACCTTCCTGGACCAGGACGAGGATGGGAAAGGGTTTTCTATATACCAGAGTTTCTCTCACTGGAATTCTCTTCTTACATTTTTATTTCTTTACTTCTTTATTCTCCATATGCTCCTGTCTCATCCTCCCGAGTGCCGCCATTATAGCTGTATGTGCTCCATCATATCCAGCGTCTGTCACTAAAGTTCTGATTGCTAGGATTTGGCAGTGTCATTCAGGGGCAGCCTGCATGCTTATGCTTATTATCATGTCAGGCCATGGGTTTGATTCCAGCACCAAAAAAGCAATCAAGAAAAGAACCCAAACAGCATGAAATTTGTCAATGTTCATTTCTTTCTTCCTTTTTTTTGGAGACTTGGTCACTTGAATTCACATGTAGTTTAGGGTGTTTTCAAATTTACAGTGATCTTTCTGCCTCAGCCTCCCTAGTAGTAAGATTGCATGTGTGTGTAATCCTTTCTATTCAAGTCTTAGTATGCTGCCCTCTACAGCTTGGCCTCAGTTTATCTTTCCAATCTAATGCTCTCCCCTCCCTTCATCCTCCCCTACTCCTTCCAGGAGCTCAAGATCTCACTATACCACAAAGTACAACACAAACTCGTGCTCCATGCTCTCCACTCATGCTTCTTTTTCACCAACACCAACACCTTAAATCACTGGTTTACAAAACTCCTATTCCTTCTTGTGCCCAACCTCAAATATCAATTCTTTCCTATAATTTCTCTTCCTCTACAGCCTCTCAAACAATAGCAAGCTTCTTTAGTTAAAAATGTAAAGGTGGATGGGTGTGCTCCTAGATGCCTGTAAAATATCAGTTCTCTAGGAAGCTGAGGCAGGAGGATTTTAAGTGTGAGCACAGTCTGGGCAAAGTGAGACTTAGTGAGATCCTGTCTCAAAATGAAAAGCAAGATAGCGAAGAAAAATGCACTACTGATTCTCTTTAGTTCAGGGAAACAGACTGTGATTACTTACACTGTTTGATGTTTTCCATGCCTGTATATATTTTGTATTCTGAGTGACTATTTTGAAGATAACAATATGAAATGTGTGACTATTGTCAATTTTGTTTCAAAATCCTGTATCATTTCTATTGTTTTGTTTTCTTTAATCTCTTAGAAAAAAAATGACCTGGGGATGTTGACCAGTATGGCCTTGGATTGAATCCCTAGTACTGTTAATAAATAAAACTGAATAAAATTCATTTGGAACTGGTTCACCGGGCCCAGACCTTGGCATCAACTAGATGGTTGAGAATTCATTGAAAATGACATGGCCAGGAGCAGAAGGCATTTCCTGCCAATACCTAGCCTCCCTCTGACCCGTTCAAGCAAACCAGCAGCGATCTGCCGAGAGCCCCAGTGAAGGAACCTGCTTTCCTATCACCTTCCCCAGCCCCCCGGTCTCACCTGAGTCTTCTGGAAGTCGAGCCTGTCTGCCCCTCGAACCCCTCCACTCGCCACTGGCTAATCTTCTCATCACCACTGAGAACAAAGAAGGTGTCCGCTGAGAACCAGAGCAGGGTGCTCACTCGGCCTGGAGCCTGGTATGTGGAACAAGTTCACCTCAGTCCTTCTGAAAGCCCAGCTGAGCTTCCATCCAAATGCACATGCAGCCTCAGCCCCCGCCACCAGCATGACACAGGCGGCTGGGAGAACACACACAGACAGAGGAGGCTGCCCGAATCACCTGCGCTGTGGCCACGGCCTTGGCTTCTTGCCACAAGGTTAATTCCCCAGCTTGATTTCCAGACACGGCCACAGAGCCATCCGGTGCCCAGGCCACAGAGGTGATGGCTGCAAAACTCCTAGGTGTGTTGCTGTCATCTGAGGAAGAAAGGATGTGACCCTTAGAAGCTGGGCTCATCCTAAGATACCTGAGGTACCAGCCAGGTGGTCCCGGCTCTTTGCCTTGGCAGCCAACCCTCTTTTGTACCTATCTCTCCAGGTCTCACTCACCCGCTTCCTTAGGGACCTCGCAGAGCCGCACTGAACCTTCCTGTGAGGCAGTCAGCAGAAGACCTGAGCTCTGACAGATGGCAGCTGCACTGACCGGGCCGCTGTGTCCCGGGAGGATGTGCGTCTGCTGAGCCTAAAGGAGCAGAGATGCTGCTGCACCCCTGGGCAGTGACCCCACAGAGTGCTGCCACCCATAACCCCCCACTGCCCCAGCCCCAGGGCTTGCATAGCACTTACTGCGAGTGGATGCCACAGCCGTGTGGCCCCATCCAGTCCAGCAGTCACCACCAGAAGCTCTGAGCCAGCCTGTCCGGCTGATACGACAAGAAGACAGAGTCAGGAGGAGGAAACAAGCAGGGCACAGAGAAGAGGCCCGGGGAAGAGCAGGTGGCTGACACTGCGCTACCTGGGTGGGGCTCCAGAGCAGCTGCACACTGACTGATGGGTCCTGAGTGGGCAGGGATGCTGGTCAGCTCCACACCTCCACGGGTCCACACTTTCAAGGTTCCGTCCTGGCCCACAGACACCACGTGCTCTTCCTGCCCCAGAGCATAAGATCAGAACACATGTGGCAAGTGGGACTCCTCTACAGAGAGGAGGGCGAGCATCTGAGACTTGGAAGCCATTGAAAAGGGAGGAGAACTCAGGCACAGTGGAGCTGTGAGGCTCAGGACCGCACTCCCGCCCCCTGTCCTGACACTGAGATGCTCTTTGCATGTTCCCGCTTCTGCCTCCCACATTAACCCCCACACCATAACGGAGTTTCAAACATGTCACTCTTCCCCCGCCCTTTGCTTTGCGAGTATACAGCCAATGCACCCAGCTCCCAAAGACCCCATAATCCTCGCAGACAAGCCCAGTCTGCGACCTTCCCAGTGCTTTCTCACCACAGCCACCACGGCGCTCACAGCACTCAGATGACCCAGGAAATGACCAAGCTGCTGTCCCAACTCTGGGTCCCACAGCCCCACAGCGCCATCACTGGAGCAGGAGATCTGCAGTCAGAAGGCACAGGAATAAGCCCTGGGCACCCCTCTAGCATTTTCTTATGTCATAACATAATGCGGGGCACAGGAAGCTCCCCGATGAGCAGCAGGGGCTCTCCCGGGGCTCAGCCCTGGCTCCTGCACTCTACACTTAGCAATCTTGACAGCATCACCTCTCTGAGCTGTGGTTTCCTCTTTCTCAACTATTAAGGAGGAAAACGGTAAGCTGCCCGTGTGGCATGCTTTGTAGAGGGCTCTGTGTACCTCTAAAAAGGACTTAGCTCTCTGTGTCTTACTCAGTGGGCACGGACAGTCACAGCAGTACCTGTTAATCAAACAATGTCATCAACAAATCCAGATAGAGGCAGAACACCCCAGTGCCAAGAAGAGCACAGACTGGACAGGACTGATGGAGACAAACCTACTTCAGATCATGTCCTCTTTTCTCATCTCTTACTGAGGACGACATGGGAGAGGACCACGTGGGCACTCCACACTAGGACCTGGGCTTTGCTAGCCCCAAGGATGGAATATGAGACTCATTTTGACAGAGTGTGGCAATATATGCAGACAGCTCAGCTCAAGTCGGCTACATACATGGTCCTCAGGAGGAATTACTGTGCCTACGAGAGTGGGTACATGAATAGAATGCAGAGTTCTGTCTTCTGCCAGGAAGCCTTCCAGGCTCTGTGCTATCCCATGCCTCACTCACCAGTAGGTTATCTTTGGTCCAGGCACAGCCAGTGACCCAGTCATGGTGACAGGCACGGAAGGTGTGAATCAGCAGTGGGCTCTGTGGTGTCCTCACATCCCAGCAGATGAGACTCTGGATAGGTTGCAAGGAGAGCAAGCCCTCAGGACCACAGGAAGCAGGAAGGAGCACCAGACCACACTGAGCCAGAAGCTTTCAGGGAACAGGGAAAGGGGGTAACAGAGTGCCAGAGGACAGACTGGCCCGAGACTGGGCAGAGCAAGAGGCAGGAGGAAGCGATGGGAAACGGGTTTTAAGGGTCTAGGAAGCAGGGGGCAGCAGGAGCCAGGGGTCGCATCCTTTGGCAGCTCACCCGATCCCTGCCTCCAGTGGCCAGGCTGCCTCCGTCCACGCTGAAGCTACAGCAGCTCACAGGGCCCTCGTGTCCCGGGAGCTCAGTGGCACAGGGCACATCTCCTGCCTTGAGCCGCCGTGTCAGCGACTGTTTGGGCCAGAGCCGTACTGTGCAGTTCTCTGCGTGGGGAAGAGGAAGGAAGGCTTGCTGAGGAGGACACAAGAGAGGCCTGGGAGTCGGGGGCAGAAGGCCATTGTGAGGCTGAGCATGATGCCTGAGGTAGGGCTCCGGGAGAGGCAAAAAGTGAGTTGAAAGGATGTGGCGAGGTGCTGGGCCAGGGCCAGTCATCCTGGGAGAATGAGCAGCGTGGAGCTCCAGTTCCACAGGGGCACTCAGCAAGGGGGCGTCTTGTGGCTGTCTAACTTCCACCCATGCCCTCTTCGCCCCGCTCCCGAGTCCTTTTCACGAGTGGACCAGGCCACTCTTTCTTGTCACTTCCACATCTGCAGCTCTTCTCAGGGAAGCCCACCTGTTTCTACTATAAATTCTCCCTCCACAGACAGAAATGCAAGGGGGCTACTGGGGGTGCAGAGGTCCCAGAGAGGGACGTAGGGAAGGAGAAGGAAAGGTCTAAGATGACTGGAGAAGATAAATGCATCCGGAGGACTTTGCAGTGTGTAAAAACAACACCCATCTGCACAAATTCACACATAAAGTACCAGGAGAAGGACCACATTAGTGAGCGTGAAAAGACAGCCTCAGGAAACCCTTGCCTCTCAGGAGTACCTGAGGCAGAAGCCAGGAGCTGCGGGGAGGTGGCCAGGCCCAGCACTGGCTTCTGGTTTCCAGGCAGGAGCCAGAGGGACTGCAGGGCGCTCTCCTCGAGCAGCCAGCCCCGCAGGGTGCCGTCTTCTGCACCGCTCACCAACACCTGGGGGCTCAGCCAGGCCAGTGCAGACACCGCCGCGTCTAGCATTTCAGACTGGACCCACTGGGAACCTGGAGAAAGACACAGAGGCGGGGAGGAGGACACTCGGAACAGGCTGAGGTAAACGCGCCCGCTTTCCAAGGTTGTGACAATCCATCCACCACTACTTCAGTACCTGAAGGGATTCTGTAGATCTTAACACCATCTGTTCGGTACCCAACTGCCACCTGCTTTCTGTCTGGGCTGAGAGCCACCGAGAGGGCAGGAGACAGGGGAAGGGAGCCCAGGCATCCCCGGGGCTGACCCAGAGAGCCTGACCACACCTGAACCTGGGAGCGAGGAAAACGGATTAAATACACCCCACCTTGACCACCTGGTCCTTCACTCAGATGACAGTCACGCACGTATCCCACCATAACCCCCTGCAGCCAGACCTTGCCATCCTCGCCAGCCGTCAGCAACTGGTTTTGGGCATGAAGGAAAAGCACAGCAGAAACACAGCCACAATGGGCAGGCAAAGTGGCTAGCCGAGCCCCGTCTTGCCAGGCCCACAGCTCCACTGTTCTGTCCAGCCGGCCCACAGCCACAAGCAGCCCAGGTGCATTGAAGGCCAAAGTTCGAACAGAGGCTCCGGGGGCCCCCAATTCCTACACAGGAAAGTAGATATGGAAATCTCAGGGCTCACATTTAGCAGAACCCAAAACTCAAAGTGGCACTGAGGCAGACATGCTTCCTCCCCAAGAGCTCCTGGGAGCCTTCGACCTTTGTGGCTTTCAGTCCGTCCACCTGGAAGAAGGTCACGCTGCCCGCCCAGCTGCCAGTGGCCAGCGCCTGCCCCTCTGGGTGGAAGGCAACGCAGTTGAGGGGCTTGGCGCATGTGTACTGGAAGGTAAGCTGCCCATGGACCGCGTCCCAGAGCTGGAAGAGACAGAGTGGAGGATTGGGATGCTAAGTACAGATGCTGAGCTTCCAGTCTCATAGCCCAGCCGCCACCTCGTCCAGGGCCCTGCTGCAGCAGGCGAGGGCTCCCCAGGCCAAGCAGGCAGCAGTTCAGCCACGCTGAGGGGAAAAACGTGCAAGGCTGATTTGCAACGGTCATTCTGTTATCACCTTTAGGCAGCCTCCCAGGCACACGGTGGCCAGCAGCCGGCGGTCAGGGCTCAGGCAGCAGCCCGTGATTTGGTACTGGTGAGCCTGCATCTGCAGCAGCCTGGCCCAGAAAGACAACAGTCAGACCCTGGGTCCCAGTGCTCACAACTGCTTCCTCGTTCCTTTGCTCCTGGGCTTCTCAAAGGGAGAAGCCTCTCCCAGAGCCATGAGGTACCACTCACCGACAGCCACGCTGCAGGTCCCAGAGCTCCAGCAGCCCATTGAAGGCAGTGAGGAACAGGTCACTGTCTGAGAGGAAAGCGCAGGAGGAGATCCCATCACAGCCACTCATGACAGACTTCTCTTCCTGTAGGGCAGGACGGGCAGGGTGGCTCAGGCCTCTTCCTGACTTTCCCTTACAACCACTCCAGCCCCAAACGAAACCAAGGCCATGGCAAGAAGGACTTGAGGCCCAGCTCTCACATTCCCAGCCCGGTGCCATCTTGAAGTGGAACTCCCAATCCAGGTGAGTCTGACTCTTCCCCTACACCCAAACCCCACACCTATTCCTCACTTGTGGATTTTCAGGGCTCTTGTGGTTTGGGCTCCCATGAATGCATATATGTATAGATCCTGGAGTCAGGTAATCGGGGTGAGGAGAAAGGAGAGGCTCTGGCATGAGTCCCCACCCGCACCTAATCTACCACTGCTCTCCCAACAACCTCTGGTGCAGTCCTTCCTGGCAATGCCCAGAGGACGCTGTACTAGGGCTTGGCTCTGGCTCCTCACTCAATCAGAGGCCTTTCTTCCTCCACCCTGGGCCTTCCGCTTTCCACTTGACTACCTGCTCTCAGTGATGGCAGCTGTGTGGGTTTAGTTTCCTGTCTTACCTTTATGTCCCACCACCTTTTTGAGTTTGGAATGGGCAGAGACACACTGACCACTGTGTTTCTTGTCATGTACAGCACTGTGAGGGTTGTGTCTGAATGTTCCCCAAAGCCTCATAGGTCCTGGGGGACAGACTTTTCAGAGGCAGCTGAATCTAGAGGGTGTGACTGATTCATGGTCCAGGCTGGGATGAAGGGTTGACTGCTACCCTTGCCGTAGGTAGCAGTCCACATACAGCACAAGGGACACGAAGAGCCTGCTCTTCTCTCCTTCCTTGGTTGCTGTTGGTGTCTTCGGGCAGCAGGAATGTTTGCTTGGCTACTGTAAGCCCCTCTGCCTTGGAACCACTGGATGATGGACTAAAACCTCCAAAAACCGTGAGCCAAATAAACCTTTTGGTTATCTTTGGGTGCCGAGTATTTTGTCTCAGCAATGAGAGAAAAGTAACTAAGACAAGGGCATGGAATAGGCTCTGGGTACCCAATATTGGCTGGATGGATTTTTCTTTACTTTTTCTTTTTTGTCAGTACTAGGAATTGAACCTAAAGCCTTTGTACTGAGCTACATGCCCAGGCCTTTTCATTCTTGTTTATCATTTTATTACTGAGAGATTTCAGTACATTGCCAAACTATACAGTCTAGGAAGTTTTGGTTCACTTGCCTCAGCTTTATCGAGTGCTCGAATTGGGTACCCAGCTGTGTGATTTGCTTTTAGGACTGAGGCCTTGGATCTAAAGTGAAAGGGGTAAAGTTGCTGAATATACCAGGGAGATGAGAGCGTGTGCCCAGCTGTGAGGGGCTGAGCGTTTTGTGGGGTAAGTTCTGCCCCATCGCAAGTGTTTTACCTGCCAGGTTCTCAGGTCCAAAAGATAAACCGTCCCATTGGCAGTTCCCACAGCTGCTCTTTGTTCATTAATAGAAAAGGCCACAGCAGTGGGGGATGAGGAACTAGCTAGAGACATGCTGGACCTAGAGGAAGAGCAGGAAAAGAGAGGCACTTAAGGAGAGTCTGGAAATTGACTTTGGTCCCTCTCAGTCAGAATCCTCCATTCCACTGTGATTTGGTCTGTCCTTTCTTTTTGGGTTCAGAAAGACTGCAGCAGTCCTGTGGTTTCCAGGGACTGCAGTCACAGGCCTCACCTCTGTTGACCCCGCGCACTCTGGGGTTTATTGAGCCATCGCAGCATGCCCTGGAGGTGCCCTCGCTGGGAGAGCAGCGGGGCCTGGCAGCATACCGGCGAGTCTGCAGGCTGGTTGGCTGCCTGCTGGCGCAGGAGTCGGGGGTAGCGACTGAGGACTGGGGCCTGCTGCCTCAGGAAGGTGTGGAAGGCTGCCACATCAGCCTCAGGGAGCTTTGGTTCCTCCTCAGGGACTAAAGAAGCTAGGAAAAGAGAAAGACACAGTCACTGGGAGACAGGCAGATCCTATTACCCAGAGCACCACATAAAATCATCTCACTATTCTAAAACAGCCTCTGAGTGTGGTCGTCTGGTCCCACATCAGAAACCCTTGTGCAAAGTAGCACGAAGCTTTGGGACCCACTGCTGACCTAGAGAAGCAAAGTCTGGGGCTCTCATATCTGCAATTTGAACACTAGGTGGTTTCCTTGGTGATTTTCTGCCCCCTAAATAAAGTCTGAGAACTTCTGATGGAAAAGGTCTAAGCCAGAGGCCTCTGAAGAATCAAAAGCTCATCCTCCTGGCATGTTCAATTTGAGGGAGAAATCTGGCTGGTTTTCCCATTCCTTCTCCCCCTCAGCAGGGCTCCCCTAAGCACACTCAGAGAAGAAGCCAGGCAGGGACTCCTCTCACCATAGAGGGCGTGCACCTCCAGGAGCCGGGGGAACAGACCCAAGTCCAGGTGTGCGGCCACCACGTGCAGACTGGTGAGGAACTTTGCCAGGGGGCCACGGTGCTTGCTCTGGAGCTGGGGAGGTCGGGTTGGACCCGTTAGCCATGGGAAGAGGTGGTGAGGAGGGGAAGGGAGGGGCACCCTCTACTCCCAGACCGTGTGTCTGTGGTCAGGACCCACACCCACTTACAGCACAGAAGACCTCAAGCAGGACTGGGAAACCGAAAGGGAAAAGGTGAAGGGACTTTGGGAAGGAGGTAAATGGCAGTGGGCACAGCAGTAGTGGGCTGCAGATCTGCCCTAGAAACCAGGTGTAGTGGCACACACTTCCAACTCCAGCACTTCCGGAGGCTGAGGCGAGGATGGCAAGCTAGAACCCAGCCTGGTCACTGTGAGGCTCAGTGAGACAGTCTCAAAGAGAAATCAAGGGCTGTGTGTGCACCTCAGTGCAGGCCTGCACTAACTCCCTAGAATCGCAAAACCAAACAAGTAAGAATGGCCACGGAAGGTGTTTGGGAAAGATTCCTGTGGGATCTGCGGACTGACCAGGTGGTAGGGCAGGTCTCCCAGAGCCTCTGGAGGACAATGGTGGAACAGGCCCGAAGCGTCAGGGTCACAGGTCTTCCACAGCAGAGCTGTAAGAACAGAACAGTGCCACGCATAGTGGCACACACCCGTAATGCCAGCCCTCCATGGCTGAGACACACCACACGTTTGGGGTGGCCTGGGCTACACAGTGACTTCAAGGCCAGCCTGAGCTACATGGCAAGACCCTGTCTCCAAACAACAAACACACACTCCTCCAGAACTAGGTATTGAGAAGGCCTCAGCCCTGCAGCGTCCTGAAGGTCACTTCCCTCCAGCTACAGCAGGGGCATCCACCCACTGCTATGCCAATAATTGGGGTCAGCTGACAGAGGCACCCTTGAGTGGTCCTGGCCTTTTGATGCAGGTCCCAGACCTAGTGCCCAGCTGCCTGGGGCTGTGCTCACCTGCAATAAGGACATGGGCTGTGTTCTCAAACTCTTGCCATTTCCCGTATCGATGTCTGGCTGCTGTCCTCAGGGGCCCATCTGGGAGGTGGAGGCGGGCACCAGGGCGCTCCAGAGGGCCCTCCCCTAGCAAACTGCACCCATGTGAATTGGGCAGAGGATCAGGGAGGGGAAGAAGGAGGCTGTCAGGAAGCACCCTGGGTCAGGGTTGGCCTCCTTCCCACCTCACAGGGGGTTAGGGTTAGACTTGCATCTGACGCAAAGCCTGCGAGGCAATTGTTAGTGCTGCCCCAAAGAAGGGGAGATGAAGACAGAGTCCTGGCTCAAAGATGGACAGGTGCAGTGCAGTGGGGAGTGGGAGCCGGGCTGGGACACCTGTACCTGCGCAGGCTCTGCATGAGGTAGGCGAATGGGCCCATGGGGTACGGCTCTCCAGTGTTCCCAGCAGCCACCGCTTCTTCCCAGCTCTTGGTTCCCTTGGGCAGAATCTGCCACGCACTGAGCACTGCATGCAGCTGCTCCACAGTCAGACCTAAGAACCCAAGGTATCTGAGGGCCAACAGAAAACACACAGAAGACCCACACCGAGACACATGGTCCTGCCTTGCCCTGCGTGGGGAGCTCCCACCTGAATCAAGGCACACAAGCTCTGAGGACCTCAGTCTCCCATCCCGCCCCAATCACTGACCACTGCGTGTGACTTCAAGGGAGGCCAAGACTTGGGGAAGGACATCGTGGCCGTGCTCCTGCTCCAGGGTGCTCAGGATGTGCTCCAGCAGCAGGGGCACAGTGGAGGGCAGGGAGCGAAGTCTCTCAGACACCTGGGAGAGGAAGGGGCCCAGATTTCATGGTGGTATGGGGACAGGGCTTGGGGAGTAAAGCGGGCAGGAGGCTCAGAGAGGGAGGGAGACAGGTGGAGGAAGCAAGGGTAAGGGAACACACGGCTGGGAAAGGTGTCATTACAGATGGCAAAGATGACACATGGGCATGAGGCAGGGAGCCTCAGAAGCTGGCTGGAGAACGGGAAGCAGGTTAGGACTTGGCAGATGAGGAGCAACCAACCTGCTCGTCGAAGGTGAAGAGCCTCAGGTGATCGGTGACCAGGCGCAGATAGAGAGGCAGGTCTGATGCCTGCTTCACTAGCAGCAGTTGCATCTGGTGAGATGCACAGGACACAGTGTGAGGCCTGGCGAGCCTGCCACAGCCTGCTCTGACCCTGTCACCAGGCTTACTGCGAGGGGCTCCTTCTCTGAGAGTCCCATCAGGGACAGCCCTTGGCAGCACTCGGGGTACAGCGTCCCTCCCACCTCCCAGCCAGCACCTCTGTCAGGACAAAGGCCTGGTCCAGCCTGCGCCACAGCAAGCATTTTGCTGACACGCACTCCCCTTGGGTCCTGTCCAGACATCCTTATTAACAACTTCCCCAGTCAAAAGTGCTTCAGATAACAAAGCAGCCCGCAGGGCAGAGGACAGCCTCAGAACCACAAGGGCTCCCAGCTCCCACAGCCACCCCACTGACCCAGCGGCCCTGGCTCAGGTCCAACCTGGTTGTTGAAAGGCGACTCCTCCAGCCTCTTCCCATAGAGTGCTAGCTCCTCCCGCACCAGCTGGGCCTGGGCAGATGGTTCCAGGGGCCTCAGGGCTACCACCTGTGCACCTTGGCTCTGCTTAAGGATCTCCGCAAGGTCGGAGTCACTAGACACACTCAGCACCAGGTGTACCCACTGTGATTTGGGGGTCAGGGCACAGAAGGCAGGGGTAAAGGGAAGAAACCATGTTAGAGAGGCCTCTCCTCCCAAGAGCATCCCTCCTGCCCCAACTTCCTTCTCACACTCACCCGGGGAAGGGACTTTGGGATCCATTCTGACATCAGCTGCCCATTCTGGTTCACCAACTTGTCAGCCCCATCCACGATCAGGACCAGGGTCTGGCCTGGCTGCAGGGTCTTAGTGCATGTGGGCAGCAGCCTATGCTGGAGCTCCCACACCAGGCCCCTGTGTGGGGAAGGCAGCTGGGGTCAGGGGGATGGAGAGCTGCAGCCACTGCAGCTGAGGACGGGGACACACGCACCGATAGGAGCTGGGGAGGGTGCTGGCTTTGCGCAGTTTTCTCTGCAGATGGGTACACAGGCGCCAGAGCAGGGTGAGGGCAAGAGTCTGGTCGGGGCGGGCCCCGGAGAAGTGGAAGAAGACTGTGGGTGCCACCTCAGCCCCATCAGGAGCCCTCAGGGCAGACACGAGGGATGCCTGCATAGGACAGGAACAAAAACATGGTCATACTCTGTTACCTGCACAAGTCTTGTCACCACCCCCAGCTACCTCTCATCACCCGCACTCTAGTGCGGAGGCCCCTGGGACTCCTACCAGGAAGGTGGTCTTGCCCTGTCCTGATTGCCCAGTCACAACGGTCAGCTTTCCACGGGGCAGCAGGAGCTGCCTCACTGTGTCCTGAAGCAGCTTTGGCCGGACAGGGCTTGGTGCACTCTGCAGCTCCTGAAAGGTGGCTTGCACCAAGTCATCATCTGGGATGGACACTGGCAGCTGCTGCTCGGCCTCAGGCTGAGGGCACACGGGGCAGGGGACACTTAGGTTTCCTTGCTCTGCTTGCAGTATCCCCACCCAGGAATCTCCACTTCCCTTCTCCGCTCCTGTGGCCATTAGGAATTCCGCTCACCTGTAGGTAGAGTTTCTGGATCATACCCCACACATCCTGGAGAACCAGCTGCCCAAACTCCTCTAGTCCTCCGGTGCAGGGCCGGCCAGCGGCTATGCCCTGCCATTCACAGGAGTATCTATAGGCAAAGCAAGCATGCCCCAGTCAGAGCGGGTCAGGCTCCCCATGCCAGAGCCCGCTGTACCCAGAGCTGCCAGCCTCCCCCAGCTCACCTGCGACAGGTGGTCCCTTTTTGTGTGCTGAGGTAACTCTTCAGTGCTGATATCCGCTGGGCGGCCTCTTCAGACTCAGAGGTGAAGTCAGGTCTCCAGGTCTCGGGCACAGACCTGACCACCAGACACTCAAGAATGAGCTAGAATCAGACCACAGCCTCCCTCCACCCACCATCAGATAGGGCTCTGACTTCCTGAGACCCAAGGAGGGACGGACTTCAGCCCCTGGCCTGGTGAATGCTGTAGAGGCAGGGGCCCTGTGTCCTGCTTCTCTCTCAGAGCTGTTAGCTCACCTCGCCCATGCCCATGCCACACCTGAGCCTGCCTGGCCTGGTGGGGAGGAGCCCGGGCCCTGGGGGCAGTGGGAGGCACCTGAGGAAACTGGAGTCCCGGAGGTAGATGAGGGCCTGGGCGCAGGGCTGCAGGCCTTGACCCCGGTTCAGGAACTGCATCACCTCCATCTCTGTCACGGAGCGGCCTGGCGGGTACTGCCGGGCCTGCAGGGAAAGGGCAGAGACGGGCAGCTTCACTGCCAGGCCCACCGCTCCTCCCTTCTAGACTGCCGAGGCTCCCCCTGCATCATCTCGGCAGAATTCTTCCCTCCTTCCAAGGCAAACTCTGAAGTAGCGCTAACAGCTAACACTACTTAAATTCTTGACATATTCTGTGAATCTTGCAGAGTTTAATTTTTATCAGGACCCTGAAAATAGAAGTTCTTCCTTCTCTTTACTGTGTGAGGAAACGGGGTAGGTTTTGGGAAGCTGCTTCCCACAACACTTACACACAGTAGGAGGGAGATTAGAACTCAGACCGCCTGAGGCCAAGACCTCTGCAGACCTAAACTCAAGGTCTCTCCTCATGGAAACCTCGGTCACTCGCAGAATCCTTTGCCTGCATTCACTGCACGTCTTGAGGAGAGGCCTGTGAGAGTCCCAGGCTGCTGACACACTGTGGCCTCCCCTCCCCTGGTGCTCCCCACCCTCCTCCAAGCTTGGCTGCCTTACCCAGCGGAAATGAGGGTGGTCGGGAAGGCTGTAGCTGGGGGGGACGTAGCCATAGCAGGAGCCCAGAATCCCCACGAACAGCTGTGACTTCTCCACCTCCCCGAGGCACACTTCCAGCTGTCTGTTGGGATGGTGACAGGGACACATAGAGTCACAGGGCCTCCAGGCCAGGGAACATAGACATAGAACCAGGGGGACAGGACCCTGGCACACAGCAAGGGAACGAAGGCTGCTCATGGTCACACCAAGGGAGAAGTCCCTGCCCGACCCTCCTCTGGTCCTGCAGTCCTCACCCTGCCTACCTGGGCTCCATCTCTGCAATCCTCCTCCCTGACCCACACCCCCGTCCATACCTGTTCCTCCAGGTGTCCTCCTCGGTGACGCCCCAGTGCAGGTCGATGCCATGAAGGCTGATGCGGTGGGAGGCGGCTCGGGCCTGCAGTGCTGGCAACACAGTCCTCAGCAGCAGGTCCCGCTCCCCGTGCATGTCCCGGAAGGTGGAGGAAATGAACAGCCGGATGCTGCGCCAGCTGTGGGCAAGCAGAGGGCGAGGACAGCCCACAGGTTGGGTCCCGTTTAAACTCACAGACACAGCAGAGGGTGCAGTGGGAACCTCTGTGGAACACACTGCTGTGGCCTCAGATGCACAGCCCTGGAGTCTAAGCCCCAGTGGCCATCTCTCCTGCACCCCTCCTTTTTCAGCCAGTCATTGCCATTCCTGGATTAGTTCTTCACAGCCCCGTAAGCCACACACGCTCACTGTCCCCAGCCTACCTCTCAAGTGACTATAGTTCTGCCAGCCTTGGTGATGCAGCCTGTAATGCTGCCACTGAGGAGACTGAGGCAGGAGGATTGGGAGCCTAAAGTCAGGTTGAACAATTTAGAAAAACTCTATCTTAAAAAAAAAGGAGAAAAATAAAAAAAAACAAAGAAAAGCTGCCATGTAGCGAGAAGCCAGCATCTCCTGAGAACCCACCATGCTGGGACCTAGGACCAAGCTAGAAATCAACTATGCAGTCTTCCTGGTAAGCTTTGCTCCAGGAAGAGAAAAATGAGCACCTCCCGTGAGTCGCCTGAGAATCAAAACATCCCACCTCTTAGCAACCTGCTGGTTCAGAGCACAGCCAGAGTTGATGGCAACTCAGGTACATAAAGCAACTAAATGCTTGCATTGTTTGGTCGATTTTGCAGGCCTGGGCCAGCAGTCTGAGCATCTCTTGGGAGGATGACTGTATGCAATATAGCAAATATGGGGGATTTCCTAGTCTTTGAAGTTCAATATTGTTTTCACTGTTTTGCTTTGTTCTGATTGCTTTGCTTTATTCAATATTCTGCTTGGAATCTCATGGAATGGACAACTATTGTGAAGATAACAAGATATACTATGTCAGCTAGTACTGCTTTCCAGGTGTCCGCTCTGAAGTTCTGCTTCAGTTTTGCTGCATTGTCTTGACTGACATTGTTCTGTCTTATTTTGTTGTATTTTACTATCTCTAAAATTTTAAAAAGTTAAAAAAAAAGAAACAAAGAAAAGTAAATTCTAGAAAAAGAACAAGGCAAGCTAAAGCTCATAGCAGGAGGATTTAAGATTAGATTATCAGTTAATATAATGGAGACTAAGAAAATAATACAAACTATGACTCAAAGAGTTGACTCTTGGAAAGATTAAATAAAACCTACAAACTCTTAGTAATGTATCAATAAAAGAAAAGAAATATCTGAAACTCATGCAATTAGGAATGCAAAAGGAGGGATGGCAACAGATCCTTCTGAAATCTAGATGATCACCTATACCTACCTTGAGAACTTGAATTTTTTTATTTTTTGGTTGTTTGTTTTTCTTTTCTTTCTTCTTTTTTTAAAGAGAAATTGAATTCTAAGAAGATAGACAACACAAAAGAAACACACACAGATTCCTGGATAGACAGGTATTCCCAAAGCTGAATCAAGAAGATATAAAAATTCTAAATATACTAATCTCACTCAGTGAACTTGAAAGTATAATTAAAACCTGCCAACAAAGCTAAGCCCAGGCCCTGACTGATTCACTGCTGAATTCTGCAAGTAATTAAAGAAGACCCAGTGCCAATACTTGTCACAGTCTTTCATGACACTGAAAAAGAATCAGCGCTCCTAGCTTCATTCCTGGAAGCATTGCCCTGGTATCAAAACCAGAGAAGGACCACAAGAAGAAAATGAATTATAAGCTCAAACGTGACCATAGACTCAAAACTCTTCAATAAGATACTAGCAAGGAGAATGTAGCAAATCACCGAAAAGATCATATACCATGACCAAGCTGAATTCACCCCATGGATGCAGGGATGGTTTAAAATATGCAAATCATGAAATGTAATACACCATATTAAAAGAACCTAGGATAAAAGATGCACAGTGAATGTGTCTGAATGAATTCAATAAAACTGAATTTACAAAAACAAAAACAAAAATAAACAAAAACAAACAAATAGCACGGTACTGGGGAAAAAACACAAGTCCCAGGGATCAGTGGATCAATGGAACCGATTAGAAGATTCAGAAGCAACTCCAGATCTACTGAGTCGTATCATTCAGAAATCTGCTAAACACATTTATTGGAAGAAAGAGAGCCTCTTTAATAAATGGGGCTGGACAAACGGGCTTTACCAAAGCCAATGCCAAGACCACAACGGTAGCCATGTCACCCACCATGCACTGAACTAAAATTGAAATGGATCAAAGATCTAAATATTAATACAGAAAGATTAACTCTGTTGGAAGAGAGAATAGGTAGAACTGTTGAAGACACTGATCTAGGCAAAGACTTTATGAATAAAAACCCAATTGAGGGATACATATCACAAAGAATCAATAACTGGGATCTCATCTAATTAAAATGCTTTTGCACAGCAAGAGAAACCAATAGACTAGAGACACAACCCACAGTGTGGGGAAACGTGTTTTTTCAGTTGTTTCTCAGATAAAAGACTGCTGTCTACAATACAGAAAGAACTCAAAAAATCAGACCTCAAATATAAAGACCCAGGCCAAAAACGAGTGTCTGAAATGGGTAGATGACTTTTAGATGAAGAAGCAGATATGGCAAAGAAATATATGAAAAAAATATTCAAAATCATTGGTGATTCGAGAAATGCAAATTAAAACAATGCTGAGATTCTATCACACCTCAGCAACAATGGTTATTATTAAGAAGTCAATAACACATGGTAGGATTACGGGGAAAAAGGAACCCTTCTCCACTATTGGTGGGAGTCCAGCCCAGTGCAGTAACTGCGGCAATCAGCATGGAGATTCTTCAAAACACGAGGACTAGAGCTTGTACTGGACACAGCTATTCCGCTGGGATCTTCCCAGAAGAACTAAAAACATCACAGCACAGCAAAATATGGATAACCGTGTTTACATCAGCACAGTTTCTAAGAACTAAATCTCAGAAAAAGGCCGAATGCTCATCAACTGATGAAGGGATAAAGAAGATTTGGGTTGTTTTCTAACACAATGGGGCACTACTCTGCCATAAAGAAGGATAAGCTTGAGACATTTCTAGCAAAACGGAGGCAAAGGTAAAGCCAGTCCCTTAAGGGAAATAAATCAGACACACAAGTATAAATATTGCATTGTTTCTCTTGTGTGAGACGCCAAAAATATAAATGGAAATCAACATGCATAACAGACACTGTGAAATCAGTAATAACACACTGAAAGGGAAGGGCAACTAGGGAAGAGGGAAGGGAAGGAGAATGGAAAACATGATGAGCCAACAAGGAAAAATGGAAAGAAAGCTTTTCTAAAGAGGTGAAGAGGGGCTGCAGGGAGGGTAGGAAAATGAGAATAAAACAGAATCAAGCTGTATCATGGAAAGGTACAAATTCTCGAGAATGAATGAAAGTATAATTTTTAGCATTTAAGCAAGGCTCAAGGATCAAGCTACCATGGTAAAATGGTAAAAATGGGATGAAAAACCCAAAAGATGAGTTCCTAAGTGCTTTGCTTAAACCCTGGCTCTAAGGTCACAGTGCCTGCGGATTCCCTTGCAGGTTCACCATCTTTTCCCCAGCAGAGAAAGCTGTGGGCTCTCAGCATGACTTTCCCAGTGCTACAGGATCCCCTGCCTGAGAAGAGTGGGCACATTTGAGGACTAGGATGCTGGTGTCTCAGTGGACACCAGGTCAGGCAGAGGGTTTCTCCAGACATGGAGACACAGACTGACCCATGCTGTGACAGAGGAGCCAAGGGGCTGGGAACATCGTCTTCCAGTGGCCGGGGAGTCGGGACCTGTGTCTCTCCCTGGAGTGGTGGTATCTTTAATAGTCTGTCCATCTGGCCCACATGTTCTAGAAGACGTGAGTCCCCATATTCTGCAAGGAACCTGTGAACAAAAATGAGAGGAGATAATTAGGATCAGAAAGGTCTTCCAAGGACAGGGTGTTAAGCCATAAGCAGTGCAAAGCTGTAACAGTTAAAATAAATGACACCACAGAACCATAGGAATGAGGGAAAGCAAAGAAATCCTGCTTTGCCACCTCCGACTGCATACAGCAATCATGAAGATTCCTGTTGGAGCAGGGAAATCTGCCCTGGGCTACGTGTGGAGAGCAAACCACCTCAGGCTGGGCTGTATTGCTTCAAAACAGCCAAGAAAGCCCCAAGGGAGTGAACTGACTTAAGGTCTCCTAGTGGGAGCTGAGGCCACAAGGTGGCATCCACAGGAAAAGGCAGGGAGGAAGCGATGAACAGTGCTAGGAGGTGAGGCGGTGCACCCCTGGCACCCCAGCACACTGAGAACCTGACAGAGCAGAGCGGTGGGTTCAGACTAACACTGGACTCTCCCACGTCCCTGTTCCTCTTTTCTCCTGCACGTAATACAAACTTGCATGGATACAAAGAGGACTGCAGCCGAAACAGCTATCCTGAACCATGAGGCAGAAGTGAGCAGGAAGACAGGAAGTGCCTGCATCCCCGTAGAGCTGTGCTGTTGCTAGGACTAGTTAACCCAAACAGGGCTACAAGCTACTTTGCTGCTAAAAAGGAGTGAACGGAGTAGAGGGCACCGATAACCTCTCACAGACGTTCCAAGGAAGGCTGTCCCTTCCCTCCAGGGACCGTTTTGTACTTACTTCAGTATCCTGTCTGTGCAGCCTGAGAGCGTCACCCAGTTGGTACGCCAACTTGTAAATCTGAGAAAAGAGAGCATTGCTGAGCACCAGAAGCAGTGACCACGCTCAGTGCCCAAGACTGACGCCCCAACGCTCACGACTGCAGTTTTACCGGGGTTGTGTGGCTGAGAGGTAGCTCCATGGTACACCGCACACCTAGTGTGCTTGTGCCATTCCCAGCACTGCATAAACATACACACGCACATGCACACGACTTTGTGCTGGGGTACAGTTAGGGTTGGAGCATAAAGGGTTGAAGAACGGGGATACAGACTTCAGGGAAAGGTCTGGAATCTGAAAAGCACTGTAATTAAGAAGGTAAAGAGACAGGAGGTGCCAGAGAAGTGGGATTTCCTGAACTACAGCAGGGGAAGAGGAAAAACACGGGTCACTGTCTTCTGACACTGTGCAGGGAGCTCAGGCACCTTACCCATCCGTTCTCTTTAAGAAGACAGTAGCAAAGAGACATTTGGGATTCACATGCTGCCAGATAATGTGTTCGGGTACAAGTGGCACCTGAAGACACCGTGTATGGCCAAAGAGGATGACCCTATCCATCTGTAAGACAAAAAGCCAGTGGTGAGTTCAGGAACATGGGGAGAAGAGACACAAAGAGCTCAGGATGTGCAAAAAGAGCTCTGTAGGAATGGGGGACTGGAAGAGCTCTGACGGGAGTGGGAGAAGGAGTCTGCTGAGAATACTGAAGCCTCAAGGAACATACTACATTCCGATCTGGACATCACGGTACAGGTTGGGGAGGGTAGTGGTGTGCAACACCCAGCTCACTCACTGAACAAGACCTGTTACGTATTTAGGAATTCTGTGGGCTGATTCTTGCACATCGCCATTTCTTTGTCTATTTACTTATTTATGCCTAGCATTGAACTCTAGGCCTTGCCAATGTTACGCACATGCTCTGCCACGGACACACAGCCTGAGCCAACGTGCCCCTTTTATACACTGAATTGCATAAGTTTAAAATCCAATGAAGGGCTCTCAGGTGGTAGCTCAGATGGGAAACGCTGCCCTCTCATGTATGAGACCGTGGGTTCAATCCCTACCACCACTAACATGTTAATCAACTACAACTGATCAAGTGAATAATAAATCCTCAACATCTGTCACTCCTAATTATCTTGCTATACTTTCCTATTTTTCTTCTTGACCCTCATTATACCCCTGCCAGTACTGTGGAACAGTGGTACGCTGGCTGAGCATTTCTTCCCAACTCTATGCTCAGTGATGTGACGTCACTGAAATCGGCCACGGTAGGACTATTCACACCACAGTAATCAGCAAGCATGGTTAAGCAAGACTGACTTTCCCAAACTGCTGGTGCTTAAATCCCCACCCCAGGGGAGCTTTCAGGATCCCTCAGGGAGCAGATTTAGAAGCTGCACAAACAGAATGATGAGCTCCGAGCTCCAAAAATGAGACACATCATCTGTAGAGGAAAATGGGTTAGAAGGGGAGAGAGTCACAGGGCCAAACAGTACTCACAGGGACCCTTTGGGCAGCCAGAGACAGCAGGTACTTAGCAAAAGTAAACATGGGCTGCTCATCCCCGTCCTCCAACTCCTGAAGGAAAGAGATTCACGTCACGGGATGGTTGCACATGAGATAAACAAAAACGCTCAGGTTCCCACACAGACTGTTTTTGTGTGTCCACAGGAGTTCACATGGTAGAAGTTTAATCCTCACTGTATGTACCAAGAGGCTGGAAGCTCCACTTGACTTTGGTAGAAAAGGTGTGGCCTAGTGGGAGGGTCTCAGGAGAGCTGCTTGGAGGGACTCAGCAGCTCTCATGACACCCCTAAGGTCTTACGCGAAAGAACTGTTTCCAAAGCCCAAGCCTGACCCAGGAATTGTTTCCTGGCTTGCCTTTTCTTTTCCTTCCCTGTGCCCCAAACACTATGAGGTCCTCACCTGAATGAAGCTGATGCCTGTGCCGTGCCCTCGTGTTTCCAGAACTGTGCATGAAATAAACCTGTTTCCTTTATGCAGGGACCTGCCTCACATATTTTATCTCAGCAATGAGTTACAGACTGACAATAAATAAGAAAGGTCATGGTCTGGGGAATCTCCCACACTCTGCACATTCATGCCATTACTACCTGGGATGCTCCCAGACCTGCTCCAACTATGTGTTTATAGGTGGCGGGGACAAGTATCTGACCTGGACTTGGGCCTGGAGTCTGAGAGCCATCTGCAGGATGCCTTCCCCAGCCGCCAGCTCAGCAATCTTCGGTGCACCTTTTCCACACAGCACAATCTCAGCCTGCTCTGCCCGCGCCACCATCATTCCCAGCAGTAGCAGCACATAGTTCAGCGGGGGCTGGTTGGATAAGCATCACGGTGAAATAAAATTTCCGAGATTTCAAATCCACCCTTGTCCACCCAGAGCTGAGGTCAAGCACCTCCCCAGGTTTGGGATAAAGGGAGAAAATCTGCAGTTAGGAGCAGACAGCTTTTGCAGACCTCAAAAAATCAACCAAACAAACAAACAATAAAAAAAACCCCACTGGGGAGAGGAGCATGGAGAAGCCAGAATGTTTTCCAAAATTAGTACTGGGATGCAGTCAGATAAAAATGAGATATTTTTGCTAACAGAAATTTAGTACTAAATAGTAAAAGGTGAAATGTTAGTGCCGAAAACAGGAACCCAAAAGGAGGAATCCTAGGAATTCTCCCCAGGCTGCTAAGGCTGATACTTGGAAGTCAATCCACATTACAATTTCAATCTGTGTGCCTCCGTGGGAAATGAGGGCTGGGGTCAAGGTCTTTCTCAGGCTCCCCTGCACCCTCCCAGCCCCTGGAAGGATGTTTCTGCCTTTTTACCCCTTGTGCATTGCTCTTGGCACAAAAGTGGTCTGCAGCCGCGTCTGTCAGGTAGGCCAAGAGAGTGCGGCCTGGCAGCAGCGGAAGGTTGTGCTTCACAGAGAGGTTCACGGCTGCCTCCAGGGCCTGTCGATAGCGGGCCAGCAGCTCAGGGTCGCAACGGTACTGTCTGTAGGGCAGAAAGAGGCAGACATGGCACTCAGGGCTTCTCTGCCTGCCAGGAAGAGGCAGACAGGGGATCAGAACTCGCTACTCAAGTACTGAGTCATTTCCCAGTTCCTTCCTCACGCAGGGCTTGGTCCTTCCTCAGGCCCTCTGCTCCACACAGCAGCTTCCTGTTGCTCTGTGCTGCAGGATCCTCTCTTGCCACACAGTTCCAAGGCAGGAGAGGGACTCCCTGGGAAAATCACCCCTGGAAATCAACTGTCACACTCAGCACACCAATCCTTGCTCACTTCCTAAAGGCTGATGAAGGGCTACATAGGTTGCAAATGTATTTTAAAGAACAAACACTGCCGCCACCTTTCTTGAGCACCCACTCTCCTGTCTTGAGTCCTGTGTATACTTCTAATAAATCTTTCTCATACATCGTAAAAATAAGTAAATAAATAAAAGAAACACTAACTCCTTACTGTAGTCACTGGAATTAAGATGTAAGAAGCGGAGAACCTTCATTCCACCTTCCCTATACAATCACTTTATCAAGGTAACTAAAACTCTTTAGCGGACAGCCACAGCTCCTTTAGCCTTTCCCGCTGAGAACTATGGGAGAATGATGGTAAACTGCCATTCCACAGCTACCAATAGAGCAACCAGCTTAAAAAAGATCTCAAGAAATCAGCCATGACCCAAAGTAAGAGATGAGGCTGTCAACCTCCTAAAAGCATTCAAAAATCTTAGCACCAGTACAGGTGGGACCATCTAATATTTTGTCATACATCCGTGTGTGTGTATCTGTATCTACATCAACACCTACATCTACCTCTGTGTCTATATCTGTATCTATATGTATACTTTTAGGCTTCTACTATTTGGGATTGAACGCAAAGATTCAGCCATGCTAGCCAGACAAATGCTCCACCACTGAGCTAAACCTCCAGCTCTCATTAAGTTGGCCAGACTATCTTTGAACTTGTGATCTTCTTGCCTCTGATCTTGTATTTTATCAAGAGGCACAGAGTCTGAGGATCTCAATCAGTCTATACCAGATTGCTTTTGAAATTCCTGAAGAAAGAGGAGAATAAATCAATGTATTACAGATCAAGAGGTGTTTCCAAATCAAATAGAAAACAAGGGGAAAGACACCATCAGGAATTACATAAACCCAGACATGTGACATTTTGGGGAGCCCCTGAACCTGGTTTCCACAGCAATTCAGAGATACAAAAAGAAAGATTCAATGAGATTTAAGAAATGGAACAACAAAGCTGGGCATGGCAGTCCATGTTTGTGATCTCAGCACTCTAGAGGCTGAGGCAGGAGGACTGCAAAGAATTCAAGGCCATCCTGAGCAAGACAGAGAGTTCAAGGCTGGCAGATCTTCACAGAAAAATAGTTTAGAGTCCTCAGATAACACCCAAGCCCCAGCAGCACACCTCCTATTATGCAGGCGTGACCCCTGGATGACATGCACACACCTGGCCTTCTGTACTCTCAGCTTCTCCCGCTTGAGCTGCTCATATATCACAGGGACCATCATTGTAGTTCGAAGCTTCCGGCGACTCATCTTGCAAAGGCTCCGTGGGTACTTCTTGAAACGTTTTGAGTTTCTAATCATTATCTGCCTCAGCAGCTCGGTATTAGAAGGAAAGGGCAGTGCTGTGGGTGACAGACACACACCGAGTCAGGCATCCTCTGCTCCCTCATCACAGCCCACCAGGGATGGGTTCTGAGCCCGACCCTGCGGGACAACAGGAGTCTGGCCTCTGCCCAATCTGTGCCCTGCATCTGCAAGGCAAGAGGCTAACAATAATGGGTCAGCGGCGGCCACCCCCTTATACAGCGGGAGGGGACAGAGGAAGTTGCAACATGGGAGATAATACCTTGATTGCTGAGTTCGGCCTCGAGGTCATCGATGGCATCATGGGCATTAAGGAATCTGAAGGGCAACTCCCCACTGTGGATCACCAACTCCTGTGGCCCAAGGGAGAGTCATGAGCACAGGGCCAGGGAACATGGTCCTACCAGGTCCCGGCACCAAGAAGCTCACTACTCTGTAAGGTCTGTGGGAAGGGAAGGAAGGGGACTACGGTGGTAGAATGGAGGAGATCCACAGAATAAAGGAGGAAGGAAAACTCGGTGTGTGCCAGGAGAGAAGAGGTAAAGAGGAGGAGTACTGAGGCAGGCGAGGTGGTGCGTGTCTGGAATCCCAGCCCTCGGGAGGCTGAGGCCTGTTCAAAGTCAGCCCGAGCCCCACAGTGAGAGCCTGCCTCAAAACAGAAAGGAAGCAGCAGAAGCAGCCCCGCTTCCTTCGCAGCAGACTCACGCTCAGGGGGTTCACTGCATACCGCGTGCTGGAGCCGCTGGAGGACGAGCTCGTGGTGTGCAGCGCTGATTCCCACCAGCAGCAGGTTGCGCAGGTTCCGCAGCATGGCCGTGAAGGGAAGCTTCCCGCTGTCTGCAGCAGGTGGGCACAGGAAGAGAGAGAGGTCAGTGTCCAGGGCAAGAAGTATGAGGAAAGCACAAGATGGACAGCAGGAGGGACTCAGTAAGATCCATTCAACCCAAAATGGCCAATCATGAAACCAGGATGGCCTTTAAGCGAGGAGCAAAATTTACCCAGCACTGCTCACAGGTCAGCTGGGTCAGTAAATGGAGACGCCACTGTAATGGGGGCACTGTCCCTGAGGTCAGTCAACTGGCAACACATGCTGTCTCGTTTACAGCAATGGTTTTCAAGCTCGCCACATGGCTAAAAGTTTCCTTTTGCAAATTTGTTTATCAATTCTGCGTTTTGCAGCACGTTCTTTAGTTAGTATTTCAGTGTACACTTGAAGTGTATTATTTATAACAATAATATACTTCCATCTTTCAAATAATTCTTTGATTTTTTTTATGGTTTTTGCTCAAGTTGTATTTTAGGCTTTTCTTTCTTTCTATGTTTTATTTATTTATTTATTTATTTATTGGTGCAGTACTGGAGATTAACCCCAGGACTTTCCAACTGAGTTACAGGCTAAGCCCTTTTTAAAAAAATTGTTTTTCAACCTTACATGATGGCACACACGTATAGTACTAGCATTCAGGAGGCTGAGACAAGATAAATGCCTCAAGTTCAAGCCCAGCCTGGGGTACACAGTGAATCCAAGGCCTGTCTGAGGTACATAGGAAGATCCTGTCTCAAAAAAAAAAAAAAAATTATATATATATATATATATATATATATATATACACATACATACATATTTATATAATTTGTTTTGTTTTGTTATTTGTTTTTGGAACCACAGTCTCAATGGTCAAGTTGCCTAGGCTAGGGTCAAATTTGTAAAATTCTGAGCTTTCCCCACATAGTATGTGGGATTACAGTCATGTACCATCACACTTGACTACATTTTATTTATTTTGGATTTTTAGGGGAGAGTTTCTCATTTCAACTCACGAACCACCTTCCTCATCCTCCCTAGTGCTGGGATTACAGGCATGCACCTCCACACCTGGCAATGGTGTACCATTTTTAAAGGTCATGAAAATCTTACTGCAATTGTAGCTATAAGCTTTCCAACTTCCAGAACATCTGACCTTCTCCAGTCATAATTCTTTGATGGGGACTGACCCCAGGGCCTCATGCATGGTAAGTACATACTCTTACCACTGACCTATAATCCAGCCAAATAACTATAACTACCTTTTCTTTTTTTTCTTTCTTCTTTTGAGACAGGATTTTGCTAGTGTCAGATTATCACAGCCTAATCTCGAACACCAGTGCTCAAGCCACTCCACCAGCTCTGCTCTCTGGATAGCTGGGACCACAGCTGTACACCACCACAGCATTACAAACCCCATGGGACAATTAAGTTGCATACAGACTGTAAATGATGTTTAGTAACTAAAGAATGACTGCATATCCTGTTAACTCCCCTTTTTCTGAACAGATAGATACTTTGTTTTGAAGATGCGGTGTTTTTAATGCGGCTTAGCCTAGCCCTAGATTCCTGGTGATCCTCCTGCCTGAGCCTCCTGGGTTTTAGGGGTATAGGTGTGTGCTCCGAGTGTCAGCAAATATCATATTTGGGGTTTTTTTGTGGTGCTTTTTATTTGTTTTGTTTTTTTGAAACAGGGTCTTGCTATATAGCTCAGGCTGGCCTTGAACTTGCAGTGATTGGCCTGCCTCAGCCACACAAGTGCTGGGATGATAGGTGTGCACCACTTTCCCTAGCAAACAGCATATCATGATGCTAGAAATTAGACATCTGTCAGCCACATTGAGACATTCACTGATTTCATTCTCTCCAATATTAATTTTTTGTAAGTATTCACTATTAATGAGACCTATGATCTTCAGAAAGAGTTCTGTGTACTTAACTAAATTTATATTGTATTTTATAATTACCCGTATGAATTTTTGTACTGCCTTTCATTCTTATATGTTTACTGATTGACTGCTTGAATGGCTGAGATAGGGTCTTCCTATGTAGTTCAAACTGGTCTTGAGTACACTGTGTAGCCCAGGCTGGACTCAAACGTGCAGTGGTCTTTCTGCCTGAGCCTCTGGAGTGCTGGCTTTACACACATGTGCACCAAAGTTGTCCTTCATTTATATTTATCTTTATAGCTAGATTTACATTGCTATACTTACATTTTATGTATTCCTAAAGTTTGTAATTATTTGTACAAGACTGTAACTTTTAAAAACACATACATATATATTCTCAAGTATTCCAAAACTCATTTTGTCCAAGCAAGATTTAAAAAAAACAACAACAACTATGAACTGAGCATGGTAGCACATGCTTGAAATCCCAACATTCTGGGAGGCTGAAGCAGGAGGATCAAACGTTCAAACTGGGCAACCTCAGCATTCTGGGAGGCTGAGGCAGAGGGATCAAAATCTTGAGCCCAGCCTAAGAAACCTGGCAACTTGGTGAGAGGCTGTCACAAAATAAAAAATAAAAACAGACAGAGATGAATCTTGGCAAAAAGGCCCTGGGCTCAATCCCCAGGACCATGAAAAACAAACAACAAATTGGGTGGAGACCACAGGGTTAGACTGGGGGCATTTCCCTCGGCCCAGACAGTTCACAGTTGCAGGGCCAGTGACTCCTGTGCCAGAGGGAGAAGTGACTCTGGTGCACACACAAGCACCCAGCGACACCAGCCGTCACACAGGCCCATTTATTCCATGCAACTAACCCGTTTCCACTGCCAGGTATGTGTGTGTATGTCTGCGTGTGTGCATGTATGTGCTCTCTAGCTAACAGTATTCTCACACACACACCACCAGTGATAGCCAGGAAGTGAGAGAGACACACACAGTGTCAGAGTCCGGGTTGTGCCATGCACAGAGGAAAAAGGCAAATGACCTCTTGGTTTCCCTCGCTGTAAAACAGCAAGTCTATAAAAACCACTCAGAAGGGTTAAAGGTACACATTTTTCAACAAAGAGCAACTGACTTTACATTTGTAGAGATGAAAGAAGAAGCAAAGGGAAACAAAATGGAGGCAGGACATAGCAATGTGAAACCAGAAAGAATGTCTGCAGTCAAAATGAATACGCAGTTGGGAGGTCAGTTCAAGGCCAGCCTGGGTGAGACCACAAGACCTTGTCTCAGAAAAAACGGAGCATAAATAAACAGCTGAGTGGAGGCACATGCCTATCATCCCAACACTAAGGAGCCGGGGCAGGAAGATCACAAGTCTCAGAACAACCTGGACAATGTAGCAAGTCCAAGTCTTGAAATAAAATACAAAGATCTGGAGAAGTAGCTCAGTGTTACAGCACTTCCCAGTCCCAAAGGGACAAATAACAATGAGAATTAAAATTAAAAAAACAAAGAGAACAATAAAAGTAACTTGATCCTCCTGATTGAACTGGTTTGTAATCAGTGTGATCACATTTTTTTCTTTAACAAAATTTTTATTATTAGTACCTGTGGGTAGAACATAATGTTCACGTGTCCTGTGGGGAAGTGTTACCTGCATGTAATATATCTATTTCCCTAAAACTTCCACATCCTCAATTCAAGATTCTGGAGAGATTCTAATGTACCAACAACCAGGCCTAACTTGTCTGGAAGACAGATATTGCTACATGCAGTAGGTACAGAGCTACTGCTTTTGTGACAGGTAGAAAAGTCTTGTGTGTCACCTTCCTCACTGGAATAATGACCACCTATGATGCAAGCACTACTCGGAGTGGGCACCACTGGCACTCTGTGAGGCAAACTATAGACCGTAGGTATCTAATCACTGTCAGTGGCACAGTTACCAGCCAAGAGAGCAATTGCATTACTCCACAGAGATAAATACTGGGGTCTCCAGGGTGGAGGTGCGAATGGAGCAGGAGGAAAGGACCGCTAAGGTCAAGGTAACCTCACCGATGAGCTCCTCCCAGACAGCAGCTCTGTTCCCCTGAAGGCTCAGCGCCCGGTCCCAGGTCTCGGGTCTCAGCAGCTTCATGCGTTTCCCAGCTCTGCTGGGGTCCCAGGGCCCAGGGAGGCGACTCCGAGAAAAGAGCTGGAGGCTGGAGGGGTACCTGGGGCAGAGGGAGGGCAGTGCATCATTTAAAGCAGAAAACAGAAAAGGGAGGTTGAACAGGCCAACGCTGGCTGGAGTCACGTGTGCAGTCCGTCTGCCCGACTCCCGGTTGAGCACGACCAGGACAGGGACCACACTGAGGAGCTACAGCTCAGGGGAATGCAGGCGCACAGTGGACCTGCTCACCTGCAGCCCAGCAGGGCCTGGACGTGCTGCGCAGGCTCGTGGATATGCAGCCGCTGGACCAGCTTCTTCAGGGTGAACCGTGACAGATTCCTTTGTTCCGTCTCAAACTGTGGAAATAGCCCAAGTCTCAACAGGATCACAGAGCTTCTGCAGAAAGCAGAACCTGGACCACCCTACACCTATCACGTCATCCCCTTCCCCAAATCAGACTGTGAGAGAAGGTAAAAATCCCCAGCAACAAGAGCTCCCCTGACAAGAAAGACAGCAGCCACAGGCGGAGGCAGTGGCACAGCTGCGTCCTTGCCTCTCAGGAGGCTGCAGCAAGAGCACTGCTGGACCCCAAGATTTGGAGGCCAACCTGGGCAACACGGTTAGACTCTGCCTCAAAAGAAAAGAGGAAGCCTGGCGGCCAGCGCAGCAGTAAACGACTTGCCTAGCACGCATAAAGGGAAGAGAGCTCTTACCCCTGAGACCCTGGTCAGATAGACTGAGGCAGCAGCACAGTGCATGCTGTGAAGGCCAAAAGGCCGAGAGTTTTCTATGATGGGAGAGCCAGTTTTGGGCTTTATTAATAGGAAAAGGAGAAGAGACCAGCTGAACAACTGAAAATGAGTTTTTCCCCTGTAATACTAATATTCATTTTAAAACAACTATATTTTAGTAAAAATAATAGCTTACACTTTTTAAATGCCATATATTAATAGAAATACCTTAACTGCTTGATTTAATCTTCACAACCCAACAACTGAGATTCTGATATTTTCCTCATTTTACATAGAAGGAAATTTGAGCAACAGATGTTCAATCATTTGACCAAGGGCACAAGGCCAGCCATGGAGAGTCAAACCCAGATTATGTGCATCTAGATTCTATGCTCTTTTTTTTTGTCTTTTTCCTTTTTATCGGTACCAGGGATCAAACTCACCACTGACTGCTTGCAAGGCAGGCGCTTATGCCGCTGAGCTAAATCCCCAGCCCCTAGATTCTATGCTCTTAACTGCTAGACAAAGTCTTATTTGCCTTAATAGTAAAGAGATTTTATTTGCTTCTAAAATGTGCTAGGGAAGAAAGATATTTTATACCCTACCAAACATGACACTGAACCTGTACCTATGCAGCGCCGGGGCAAGGGACTCACCTTGTCCTGTACTCTTAGAATATGCCACAGGAAGGTTGGACAACGTGTTGTAGAAAAAGAAGGGTGCTGTGGGGACAGGAGAAGCAGTGTCACACAGGGAAATGGAGTCTGTCCCTGGGGGCAAACCCTTGCAATATCCCTCAAGGCCCATCTCTGATAGGAAGGCAGCCAGAAAAGCAGAGAAGCCTGCATGGCTCCTTCAGCCCCACGCCCTTCCCAGCACTCTTGGACCTGTCCCCTGGCTCCTGCCTGAGGAATACATCCAATGCTTAATGGAGAAACCCCGGCACTATTGTGCTCCTCTTTTGTTCCCTTCCCAGAGGAGGGGCCTGGGCCATGCGTGAGCAGGGATGAGGCAGGGACTGACTGGTGGTCGGCGGGGGCGACTCCTGGCACGGTGCTCCTGCCGACTGTACGTGGCCAGTTGGTGCTCACTGAACTGAGCAAACTTGTCAGTCATAGCGGCCCGGAGGCAGGCAGGCAGCGGCACCAGCTTACTGCCCTTTTCTTTCTGCAATTCCTGTCAGAGAGAGAGACAGAGACAGAGATCAAGGTGGGGGAGAGGAGAGAGAGAGGGAGAGGAAGAAGAAGAGGGGAGGAGAGAGAGAGAGAGACAGAGAGAGAGAGAGAGAGAGAGAGCATCAGAAGTGAGATCCAGTGAAATCCTAAAAACAAAACAACAGCCTGGGGCTACTTAAAACTATAGAAAGGGAACAAGCTCCTAATCTCCACATCTAAAATCACAATTTCTGGTCAGGTCTGGTAGCACACCTATAATCTCAGCACTTTGGGAGGCTAAAGCAGGAAGATCACAAGCTCAAGTTCATCTTGGACAATGTTGTTAGACCTGATCACAAAATTAAATTTAAATTTAAGAAGTCCTGGTGATAACCCAGGCATGCAGGCACACACCTGTAATTTCAGCACTCTAGGAAGCTGAGGCAGGAAAACCACAAGTTCAAAATCAGTCTGGGCAACTAAGGAATTTTGAAAGGCCCTATCTCAAAATAAAAATTGAAAGGTATAGCTCAGTGCAAAGGCCTTGGGTTCGCGAGGAGGAGACAGCTAGTGAACCCCAAGAGGCAGCCAGCAGGAGTGTCCCCAGAGAAAAGTTCTTTCCAAGGAGAAGGCAGTCACCAGTGGGCATGAAGAAGCAGCTTCCAGCAAGGACAGTGCCCAGAAGAAGTAGGAAAAGCCTCAAAAAGCATCCCAGGAAGATCAGAAGGAATATTCCCTGGGAGTGGGAGCAGGGTGTGTCCAAAGGCGACGTCTCCCATTCAGTACCCTAAATCCCAGTCCATTAAAAAGGAAAAAAAGGTCTTGGGTTCAATTCCAAGTAACACACATACTACGCATGCATACTCACACCCCGACTCAGAAGTGGGAGGACAAGAGAAGAGAGGAGAGGGCAGAGGAAAAGAGAGAAGAAAGGACAGACAGGAGAGGACAGAAATGAGTCTCCATGGTACTTGGCAGGTCAGCAATCGTCTCTGATTTCCATTTTCTTCACTGTGAACTCAAGGTCCAGAGTTAAGATCCACTGTTTCGCAAGGCTGTGGTCCTGTCCTGTTGCTTAACCCAACCTAGTAGCAGGAAAAGCTGCCCGCTGTGGCCCTGGGCTGGGCAAGCTGAGAGGAGGCAGACTTGGCTGAGAGTTTGCCCCAGTGATTCAGGCAGCAAGAGAGGCAAGCCAGGGAGGGCCACGCTTGGGAACTGAGAGCTGTACCTGGTAGAACTCAGCGACCTGGATCCAGTCGGAAGGCAAGTGGACAATGGCACAGAAATAGTGTCGCAGGTAGGGGCGGCAGGCGGGCATAAAGGCGGCGACAGCCAAGACCTTGTTGGCCACGTCCCGGAGGTTCAGCTGCTGCCTGGCATACAAAGACGCCTAGGACACGGGATGGGCATCTTAGACCTCTGCTGTACCTTCCTGCTCTAAACTAACTCACGTTTTGCGTCTGCCTTTCTCTAGCCCTCTGTACTGCAAAATTTCACGTCCACTTCTCCTAGCCTGCCATCTATGCCCTCCATGATTTAGCACAGTGAGGGCGAACCTTCTAGAGCTGTCTGTGAGGCATGTGTGCCACAGTGATGTTTCCCATCACTTCCCTGCCTCTGCCCACCTCTGTAGCTGATCTTCCTGACTCTGCAGACTGCTTCCAAGCCATCCAGGCCCTGTGTCTATTCAGAATGCTGCTCCCACCAACATCTATCAAACTCATGGGTGTGGGTCAGAGACGAAACCTGCCATCTCCCAAACCCTCCCCAAAACACCCCCCTCTCTTCTGCCTTTCAAACATTATCTGTATCCAGCTGCTTTTACATGCTACTCTGGAAAGTGATTTGCCTTCCTTACAACCCCGGGAGCTCCCTAAGAGCCAGCTCAGCTGTTACGCAGGACACTTAGCCTGGGTTATGAAGCAAATCACACCTAACACACTTTCATGATCTCTTCTTTTTTCCACTGTCTGTGCAAACCCAGAGATAAGGGCTCCCACTCACCAGAGATCTTTGTTCTCTCCTGAGTGAAGTTGCTTCCACTCACAATCAAAACCCAGTCAGCACCCTCGTACACAGTGAAGCACATTCCTCTCTCCACTGCCACCCCAATGCCTCCTTTATCTACAATACCTTGAGGATGAATTCCGGGTCCAAGGGGCCAAGATTAGCACAGATTTCAAGGATGCAATCAGTGAGTTCCACTGTACTTTCCGTGTTTACATGTGAGGCCACAGTACAGCACAGTAACTTCATCAGCGTCATCTAGGAGATGCGATGGGAAGGAAAGGAAGAGCGAGGTAACAGACAGACCTGAACATCTTTGTGGTGCTACTTACAAAACCGGGACAAGAACAATGGACCCAGACTCGGAAAGATGTCTGTCCCTCTAAGTGTTTAGAAAATGGGACTGGAAGCCAGGCATGGTGCTACATGCCTTTAACCACAGCGCTCAGGAGCTGGGGAAGGAAGAGCACCACGAGTTCAAGGCCACACTGGGCTACACTGTGAGTTCAAAACTAGCCCCAACTACATGGCAAGATCCTCTCTCAAAAGACATATGCACCAAAATGAAAAGAAAAACAAAGCATAAAGGATTCAAGAAAGAGAAAAAAAAGCAGCTCCTTCCCCTTCCACCTGCAGAAGAGATCTGGTTCAGTTTCCTCCACCACCAAAATCAACCCCTCCCCAACTCGGGAAGTTTCACCTTGTTTTGCTGAAGGTACAGGTCTGTGGGCCCGTAGGTAAGCCGGGGGGCCACCTCCAACTCCTCCGCTTCTCCCGAGATTAGGCTGTAAAAAGGCATCTGGGCCGTTTCCCCTTCCTTCTCGTCTGACTCTTTCTCTTCCTTGAAACAGCACAGATGGTCCTGGGGACAGAGGCAGACCCAGGGCCATCACATAAATCGGAAGGCAGTCCCAGAGATGGGAAGGGTTCACCTCTCCATCTGACATCTATAAAGTCCTCTCCCCTCGCCCCAGCATGCACCGGCACTGACCTGCCCAGTCCCCACTGAGCCCTCACTCACCCACAGACCCTTTCCCTGCTCAGCCTCTCGGCCTCTGCCCTGAGGCTTTCAGATCTCCCTCCTAGTTCACACCCTTACTAATGTCACAGCCCTCGCACCACGGATACTATTAAGACATTTTTAGAACCAGAAGGGACAGAGCCACTCCCGTGTGGCCCCCTGCAACTCTAAGTTACTTAACCTCCCTGAAGCTCGGCTTCCTCCTTCACCAACACCTACCCGCTCTCACTGTTAGAAAACGAAATGGAACAACGCATTCTCATGACTTTGCAAATTGTGCAGCTCTAAATCGCTATAGGTGGCAGGAGTTGGAAGCCCAACAACTGTGTGAACGGTACTTTCAGAGACTCCAAGTGAAATGTAAGGAGATGGAGGCCACGGAGGGCTCTGAGTATTGCCCAGGGCTGCATACTTTGTAATCAGCAAACAGTATGGAGCTCAGGTTCACTGTCCCTCAGCCCAATTCCAGTCAGCACAGTGGCAGTGTGTGCTCGTCTGCCAATTCTGACCCATGTACTCAGTGTCTAGTGGATGTGCGTTTACACCAGAATACAGAGGGAAGGGAGGTCTGGGATAGCAGATCCGCCTCCTCCCTGATCTCAGTGGCACTGGTTTGACCCTGCTGTGGCAATGTCATGTCAGCTCTGCCCTGAGCAGAGGCTTTCTATGATCTGCTGTTCAGAATCTCTGAACTACAGGAAGTGTAATGTTGTGGAGGAAGATGGCTGTAGGCTAAAGAGGCCCTAAGGAGAAAGGCTGTGCCAGACACAAAGCAGCACACAGGGAAACTGTGGCCATGAACGCTACTGACAAGAGATACGTGTGGAACCAAATGAGTGTCTGGGTTAATCCCCAAGGTGCTCCCTGAACTGTCTCTGCAGGAGACAGACACTGAGCCCTCCTGCTGCTTGCAGCCTCAGAGGGCAGGCGTGTGGTGGTGTGTAGGCTGCACAAGTTAGCACGCATCCTGGGAGACAGCTGCAGATGCTGGCAGACATGTCGCTCTTTCCACTGGGAAAGGTACTCACACACTGGTTCTCCAAGAACAGGATGTCTGGGTGGGCAGCCACATCCCCATGTGGTTTTTCCATGGTCTTCGGTTCAGAACTTGTGGCCACACATTCGTTCTTCAAGGAGAGGATCTCTGAGTGAGTAGACCCATGCCCATGTGGCTTCTCCATGGCTGTAGCCCAACTAGAATGCACCCAGAAAGAGAGAGACACGTGGTGAGCACTGGCCTCCCTCTGTGCATGGGGAATGCATCTTGGCCCTGCTGGTTATGCCAGTGAAGTGTGCACAGAAAACAATTAATGCAGGTTTTTGGGATTGCGTTCATTCAGAGGTATTCTAAAATAGAGGGCTACAGAAGGGCAAGGAAAAAGGTGAAGAGCAAGAAAGCTTTTTGATAAAGGGTCGGCTGGAAAAGGAAAGAATATGTCTTCTCACAAGGCAGTAAAGGAGATTCCCAAGGCTATCTGTATGACCCTAACTCTGTAGAAAAAAGGGCTCACTTGTAATTTGAATCTGGATTCTTAGCTCCAGAGAAGTAACATCTTGACCAAGTTGTGTATGCTCACCACTGAGACTTCCTTGATTTCTACGTGCATCTTGTTTTATTGTTTTACCTATGAGACAACGAGCTCCATTCCTACCCCTTTCTTTTGGTTTCTATTTTTTTGAAAATTTTAAAGTCTTGCTAAGTCACTAGATTGCCCAGGCTGGACTTGAACTTGCAATCCCATTACCTTCAGCTCTCAGAATGCTTGAATTACAGTTCTGTACCACCGTGCCTGGTTTCTATTCACTCTTTGTCTTAGTTACTTCTTTTGTTGCTGGACAAAATACCCACCACACAGGGCTACCAGGAGAAAAGTTTATTTAGCTCACACTTTGTAGAGCCTTCAGTCCCTCAGGTCTCAGCTGGCTCCAAGGCTGGGTGGCACATGGCAGGGAAGCGACAGTTCATTGTGGCAGAAGAGAGCAAAAGCAACAGGGAAGACAAGATTCCACTGATCTCTTATATTGTATGCAGCTCACCTACCTGCTAAGGTTTGGGTCTAGAGTCCCCCCAAAGCCTCATGCAGTCATGGAGTCAGTTGCATCAGGAGTTGTGACACATTCATTGTGTAGTGCTGGGACTGTGGATGTGAGCACCACACCCATGCTAGGGTTTGTAGCCTCCACATAACATAAGGGACAGGAAGGGTCTTCTCTTGTGCTCCTTCGTTTTGTTCTTGTTGCTTTTGCTGTCTTCCTCTGCCATATCCTGCCTTGGAGCCAGTTGACTATGGACTGGAATCTCCACATACTATGTGCTAAGTAAACCTTTCCTTCCTTAATTTTAGACATTGGGCATTTTGTCTCAGCATGGCAAGAAAACTAACCACGAGACAGCCCTAGGGTGTGTATAGCACTCAAACCCTTTCATCCTAGCATTGGACCAGTTATCAGTCACAAACTCTAGGTTCAGCCATCTCTGAAAAACCTGCCCCCATGACTGCGTGAGGCTGTCTGCGGGAAGGGCACTGAGACACAAACCATGACACTCTCCAAACAACTAAATGGGGTTCTGTCCACCAAAACTATCCTCGTGAATAACTAATAAGCTGGCTGTTATACAACGAAGGGACAGATGCATCTGAGCAAACGCTTTTGTGGAAAATGTCACCATTTGCTCCCTTTCTCTCTGAAACACTTTTTACTTTGGTATCCACAATACTACTCTCCAATGTTCTTCTTACAGTTCTAGGTCCATCTTCTTTCTCCTTATTCCCTAACATTGATCTTCCCTTCCCTTCCATTCTAATCCTTCTAAAGACTTTCCTGGGATGGTCTCAACTAACCTGTGATTCCAAATAACCTTCCTGTACTGGCAAGTCCAATTCATTTTCTCTGCCAGATTATTCCCCGAGTTTCATACGGTACTGATTTATCCATCTGCCCATGAGACATCTCTACTTGGGTGACTCCAAGGTACCCCCCAGTCCTCAGATCCCAAAGGTGTCATCACTTTTTTCCTCACTCCCACTTCTGCCTCAAACCTAGTCCCCTTTTATGTCACTTCTGTTCCGAAGGGTTTGCAGTGACACACACTTAGGTTTGACTCCTGGCTCCCACACCCTGCATTCTTGGGAAACTTACTTAAATTGTCTGGATCTGGGTTTTCTCTACCCAAAATTAAGAAAAATGCTTATCTCTCAGAAGTATGAAAAGAATAAATGAGAAAAATATACAAAGCGCTCGTGGAAATATCTTGCGGGCAGTAAATAGTCAATAAATAGAAGTTGTTGTTATTCTGGAAATGACTAAATATTATTAATCCTACTCCCATGACTTCTCAGATGTTATCTAATTTTTTTTATTCCATTCTTCCTGTCACCACCTTTGTAGAAACCTCTAATCCGAGTGACTGGTGATTTGCTATATGCAAATCAGTCTGAAAAGCTCACCTGGAAACACTTCAGCCACCATTTATAAATCAGATAGTAAAGTGCTTATTACTTTTTGTCAAAATTTAAAACACCTTGTTTGCTTCTTTGAGAACTGACTCACAGTCTCTCCACACTGAACTAAATCTCCTTGCAGGGCGCGTTTGTCTCATCCCCCTCCTGCATCCCCAGCATTACACACATAACCCAGCTTCTGACACCTCCCAGCCTCATCGCTTACTGACACCTGCGTCAGTCCACCTACAGCACTTTAAGCCTCAACTACAGAACTGCTGGGCTGTCTCTTGACTCTGGACTTTGGCAGATGCCTGAAATTCTCTTCTCCTCACTTCTCCGCACTCCTCTGCTCCCCTCCTCCCCCATCTCCTCTCCGCATCCTCCCCATCTCTCCTTCACCGAGCCAACGCCCATGTAACTTCCTCTCACTCACATTCCTCAGGAGGAGCCTCAGGGACACCCAGAGCCACTTTAGCACAGGCAACCTCTCATCTTTTCCCCAAGCCTGTACTTTCCTTACCGAACCACAGGTCACCTGCTTCGTTTGGCCGCTTGACTGTAGGTTCCTGGGGCAAGATCCTTTCGGCTTTGTTCACCATTCTTTCTACAGTTCCTAATCAGGACAATTTAGAGACTTTTGAAACTCTGCTAAAAGCTACGAAGCTGGTCTATAGACTTAGTACCCCATGGTCAGGATTTCCATGCTGTGCCATTCTTAGATTTCCCAAGATTTTTGTAAACTGTGCATTAAGAACCTTTCCCTGAGGAAATGCTTAGAATATGCCATAAGAAATGTATCAACCTACTTACTTCTTTGGATGTAAATTTATTTCCCAATCCCATTTAAATGTTTTAGGAATAGCATAAGTAAACCACTTCAATCTTAGTATATGAGTAAGCTCAAGGACAAGAATGTAGAGGAATCTGTAGACAACTTGAATGAACTGACACTCCAGAAGAAGAAAAAAAAAAAAAAATAGCAGATCGCAGGACGTCAAGGTACACAGACACATAAAGCATGGTGGCTGGCAGGCACGGTGGGGCACACCTGATGTAATCCCAGCACTATGGAAGGCTGCAGCAGGGGTCGACATGTTCCAGCCCAACCCAGGCAAAGCACTAACACAGCAAAGCTCTGGCTTAAAAAACCCGAAGGCTTCTGCCCCCTACCTTACAAGCTGAGCCAAAAAGTCACAGGTCAGAGGCCGGCTGTGACAAGGGAGCAAGACTTACCCTTGAAATACAGCAACAGCTCAATGACAGAGGCCCCTAAGTTCAATCTCCAGTTTCTAACGCGGAATGAGATCTGTGGTCCCCTGTAAATCCCTACGTCCTCTGCACTGTGCCCCCCACTTCCAAAGGCCTGAGCAATCTCTGCGTTATTGTAATCCAAGGTGACAGAAGGGACGGCCTCAAAATCAAAGCTAGCAGACCTTTATGGTCGCTGGTTTTTAGGCTGGAGTTTGCCAAGACAGATTCGTGGGATCACACCGGAAAAGTTTCCCACTTCTAGTCCCTTCCCCAGAGCTGAGCGCGGCTGAGGTTCACACGAAGTTTCACAGGCTCCCGTGCACATTTCCCTTCAGCCCTCCACCACCACGGCCTCTTTTTTTGTGCGTTACACAAATTGGCCCATAGTAGCACTCTGCCGGCCCGAGGAGACCCCGGAGAGCCGGCGGCACGCACCCACCTTGCGGCTGCAGGCTGCAGGCAGCGGGCAGCGGAGCTCGGGCCCCCGCTGCGCTCCGGCACCACCAGGGCGCGCGCGGGGCTACTTTCTCCTCCCGGGGCGCGTGGGGGCAGGAGGAGGACCGCCTTTCCCGGAGGGTCCCTTCCTTCCTCCTCTCGAGGTCCTGTTCCCGCCCTCTGCCCTCGCCCTCCCCACCCGGGTCCCCCACACCCCGCGGGAAGGGCAGGCAGTCGCACCTGGCTCAGCACTCGCTCACCAGCTGAGCTCCTCGCGTGCAGCCTCGGCCGCGCGCCGGCGCTCCAGCCCGGGCTGGGAAGTTCTGCCTGCGCTCAGGTCTGCAGGACCGGAGCTGAGAGCCTGCTGGTGGCCTCGGGTTCTGGCAGCCGGAAGCAGAGGTCTGGCCCCCGCTCCCTGCGGCTGCGAGGGTGGAAGCGGAGGCGGGACCGGGCGGGGGCGCAGCAGAGGGGACCCCTGCAGGGAGACGCGGAGCACGCCCACCACCCTGCTGCGCTTCTTTCAGCCTCTGTCTCCCCTGAGCCTCTTTCCCCTACGTTAAGGCTTTTCCCCCTGCGACATTGGCTTTCTCCTTAGGAAATTCCTCACCCTTTCTCCATTTACATCTCTTCACACTGGTTCAAGGAGAATCTTCTTTTTTTCGGGATGGGGCCCAAACTCACCACCTTGCACTTTCCAGGCAGGCGCCGTGCCACTGAGCTATGTCCCGAACCCACCCCAGCCCCCCCCCCCTTTTAAGAGAAAAAAAGACACAGAAAAGAAGAACAAAAAGCAAAAGAGACAAACAACAACAACAACGAACAACGGCAAACCCAAGACAATAACAATATAGGCTTTCAAAACAAGATAATAGGAATTTAACAATTATTATTATATTGTATATTCATGTATTCAAAAGCATTGCTTAGATTACCACAGGCAATATTGATCTAATCATGACTATTAACTGTTCTTTTCCAGAACTAACAGTGTCAGTAGTATAGTCATCTTAGCTACTATACGCGCGCACACACACACACACACACACACACACACAAATTTATGTCTTGTTCCTTTTCCCTTTTTTTCTCCTTTCCCCTATCTCAGTTACTTTTCCTCTGAGTACTTTCTTCCCCTTATACAAAATTTATCGTAAATTTTAGATCTTATTTGTTTTCTTAGTTTCTTACACTAAGGTAACAGTACAGTATTTACACATGTGAGTTTGATTTATTTCACTTATGAGTATGATCTGCAGTCGTACCCATTTACCTGTGGATCAGATTCTTTTCCCATGCTTGGAAAATTTTCTGCTATTATTTCTGTAAATAGTCTTGTGTCAGTTGTGTTGACCCCTGCTTTTTCCTTGAACCCCCACACTGTGGCGCTGGAGCCTTGTGCTGTGATGGGTAGAGCTAGAAATCATCAGAACCTGCTGGCTAGGCTGGTGGCTCCCTGTTGGATGGCTCTGGGGCTCTGGGGCTCTGGGCTCGGCAGGGCTTGGATCCTCAGGGACCTATGCAGCTACCCTTGAGACTCGGGTGGGAAACTGAGTCTCCCTTAGATTTCTTTTTGTTACTACCACCAGCCCCGTTAGTTGTTAGCCGCTACAGCAGATTACAAGTTTGTGTCCTTCCAAGAATTCACACGTCAAAATGATAGTCTCCTGTGATAGTGTTTGAGGATGGCTTCCTAGGAGGCGGTGAGATCATGATGAGGGAGCCCTCATGAAGAGATTAGTGGCCTCATAAGGACAGAGATGAGTATCTAATTCTCTCTCTGCCTCTGCTTGAGAGCATACAGTAAGTAAGTCAACCATCTGAGCCTAGAAGAGGGCCCTCAGCAAAACCAGACCACATTGTCATCTGATCTCAGGCTTCCAGCCTCCAGGGTCTGTTGTATAAACCTCTCAGCCTATGGTAATTTGTTCAGTAACCTAAATTTGGACACAACCCTGTGCCAAGAAATCTTTTGTGCTCTCTTTCTTAGCTTGAAAGATGATTCAAAAATAGCAACTTCACAGACAATCTTTCTTTTCTTTCTTTCTTTCCTCCCTCCCTCCCTCCCTTCCTCCCTCCCTTCCTTCCTTCCTTTCTTCTCTCTCTCTCTTTCTTTCTTTCTTCTTTTTAGACAGGTATCTCTAAGTAGTACAAACTGGCTGTGAACAGTCTGTGTAGCCTACACTGCCCTGGAAGTTGTGGCAATTCTCCTGCCTCACCCTCCGACTTCTGGGGTTACAGACATGTGCCACTCTGCCCAGCTTTGTTTGCATCCTACCTTTAATTGCCCCATGCCCTTGGCAGAGCATGTTTCTTTTCTTACGTTCAATAAATGTAAAACCTCACTGCCTTTTTTGTTTGTTTTGCTCAGTTCTTCCTTCAGGAGAACAAGAGCCTAGAAAGCACCTCTAGAACGAGCCCTCTGTCACCCAGAAACCTGACAACAAGAGGAATTTGCATTTCACCGCTGAATTGCATGTTTGTGCTGAGAATTTGTCTTGCTCCACTCTGATTTAGTAAATGTCTGTTCAGCACTATCAAATGGAGAGGATAGAGCGAATAGCTGTGAGAAGTACGTCAAACAGGTCTTTTTATGAAATACTCAGGTCTGCAGAGACAGATATATGCCGAAGCCACAGAGCACAAGGTAGATCAGGAAAGGTGCTATATTCGACTCAGGAACCAAGGACAGGTCATGCGGTGGAGAGAAGGACCTGTACCCCAGGAAAGGCCACCCTATGAAAGAAGCTAGGGGAGCACAGTGACCAGTGGGAGTGGAAAGGCCATTAGTATCATGTGCCTTTTTGAACAGCTTCCTTTGGAATTACCATGTGTGTGTATATTTAACATAGCCATCACCAAGAATGGAGCATCATGAGAGTGATGACATAGGAACAAGCACTTGCTTGATAAGCAGACAAGCCCTCCCAAGCCCTTTGAAAGCAGCAGAAAGGGATCAGCGGATTACAAGAGCATCAAGGGGTTTTCTCTGCTGACTTCTCCCACTCCAAACTGCACAGTGTTAGGTTTTTGATCTGCTGACCGTTCCCATTGTATTTCTTCATGTTCCTTCAAGGACGTTCCCCAGTGCCTGGTCTTTCTTGTTAGTGCTGCATGTATAAAGCAGACTGTAAAGTCCACTTCTCTTCTCTTTGGGAAGTGGACTCTGATGCCTGATTTCTTGAATTCAAGCTGGCCTGGTGACTTACCAGTATGACCCATGTGTACAAAGCAGCAATCTTGAGCCCTCCACACAAGCCTAGCAGCCAACTGAGGCTCACCGTGAAACATCTATCTGTGACACAGAGAACACGAGAAGCATCCAGGGCACTGTGGGCAAACCTTTAGAGCTTTGAGTGCTCACAAACACCTGGGTGTGGCAGGTGTGACACAGCTTTGCCACTACTGAACTCATGGACTCCTGCTTCAAATATGTTGAGGCAGTAACTCATAGAGCAACATGCCTTAGGTTTTGGTAATGTATGCTCAACAAGGGTCAGAAAATATTAGCTAAAAAGTTCCAGAGAGAAGAGATTACTGAGTTTTACATAATGTTTACTATATTGTTGTAGCTTTATTTTTCAAAGCTGGGTCTTGCTGTTAGGCCAAGCTAAATTTGAACTCACTCTGCAGCCCAAGCAGGCCTCGGATTTGCAGCAGCCCTCCTGCCTCAGCTTCCCAAATGCTGGGACTACAGATCTGTACCATCACAGCTGGCTATAATTGCTTTGTTTCATTGCTAGTTGTAGTGTCAGCAAACTCTTGCTTCCATTCACAAACTCCACATAAGGTGAGAAGCATGACCAGAGCCATTTTCGGCATACAAGCAGAAATCAACCATCTTCCCTAAAATCATACAACAAGTTAAGTTCATAATTACAAGTACTACTCTATCGCCAAAACAAACAAATAGATGAGAGGCTACTGGGTTGGCAGTCAGATTTGTTCCTTCTCTTCTGCCCCTTCCTCCCTCTCCTCTTCATTACAGACATGCACCACCGTGATGACCTCTTTTTTTTTAAGACAAGTTTTTCCTATGGAGCAAGCAGTGGCTTTAAACTCTATGGACCCCAGGATGAACTCAGACTCACACTGATCCTCCTACTTCATTCAGCCTCCTAAAAGCTAAGATCCCAAGTGGGTGCCACCAAGCCTAGGCTCACAACTGGCTTTCGTGCTTGCCTTAAGACTCTTTTGGGAAGCCATTTATGCAGTTGATGTTATCACTATTCCTTTAGCGATTGACAAATCCACAAAGAGAAAATAATGAAACCATCTGCTCTATAGAGGAGAGACAGAACACACACTGTAATTCAGTAATCTCTCAGCCTTGCCTCTTTGAAGATCCTGGGAAGAGGAGCTCCACATCCCCGTGCTGACTGGCAAGCCGAGAAAGCCCTACCCGTCCCACTTGCAGCTTGCTAGCACATTCCAACATTGTGGATTTGCCCAAGAAGTATTCACACTTTGCCTCTGCTCACCTGTATCTCTTTGCACAGTCGGCCAAAATGACGCGAAATGGCTCATCCAAGTCCAGCCAGCCTGGACAGAGCCCGGCTCCTGAGGCCCGGCCTCACGTGTACCTGCTCTCTTTGCTGCTGAAGGACAGTGTGCGCTGCACTGCTGCCCCAGAGGGCGTTTATATGAGCACAGTGGAGGAGGTTGTCAGTGGAGGATAGATTTGCCTCGAAGCAGTTTACTAAAAGCAGAGCTCATGATCTTACATGAAATGTGGGCTTGACTTTAGAGTTGAAAGGGCATTGGAAAGTTAATTTTGCACCTGAAAATGATAGACTTAGGGGAATATTTTAAAGCCCAGGAGGAATAATAAAAGAAAATATAAAATTGGAATCTTAAACCACAACTCTTGAGACTGCATAATCAGTAGAACACGAAGGGCTTACTGAGCCATTTCAGACCCTAGTCAGAAGGAGAACAGGTCTTGTGATGCTTGAACAACCATCAACATCAGGGATCGTTAGCAGTTGGAAAAGTTTCATTCCAACCTGCAGCTAAGAGTATTTCTATAAGCACGAGGGAAGGAAAGGACAGTTTGCATTAACCTGCACTGACTACCGACAGGAGGTGCAGATGACCCCGGGCAGGGAGGGCTCTGGGTAAGAGGGCAGCCCACAAGGAGAAGAAAGCATCTGTTGCTCCTGGACTGGTTGGGGTTAACAGAACAGAGAGTTTCCCTGAAAACTGGATAATCTGGTCTTGGTTTTCTGAATTTTAACTGCATAAGTTAACTGATTAACTCCACTGAAACTCTATTCACCATTCCTGGAAGAATAGTGTCCTCTTTTTTTTCAGTGATTAAGGGCCAAAATCAAAACTTTTCAGATGGATGAGACAGAAAATTGAAAGTTTGAGGCCAGTCTTTTTTTCGGTGCTTCAAGGATATGAGGAAAATACCTTA